ATCCATCTATCCATCCATCCATTCATCCATCCATTCATCCATTCATCCATATATCCATCCATTTATACATTTATCCATCCATCTATCCATCCATCCATTCGTCCATTCAGCCATCCCTCCATCCATCCATCCATCCATTCATCCATCCATCCATTCATCCATTCATCCATATATCCATCCATTTATACATTTATCCACTCATTCTCCATGCGTTATTCATTTTTAATTAATTTGTCATCTCTTCTTTCCTTTTCCATATCCATGTCGTTTACTTAACGTTGATTCATTACACGTTCTTCCCCTTTCCATCCACGCATTCCCCTTCCTTTTAACATTCGTGTTTCGTTATTTGTTGTCCAGTCAAGTTTATAATTCAATCTGTGGCTACTTCTTTCAGACGTTCCTTTATTCGTTCGTACGTCCATCCGTCATTTTATCAATCACTATTTGTATCTAACTTTCCTGATAGATATTCAGCTTGTTTCAACGCCTATATCGGAAGTAGAGGAGTTGTACGGGATCTACAGCAAGGAGATGTATCTTGTTGAGTGTTGTATCTATTGAATGGAGTCTTCCGAATAATCATCTTTGATTCATGATGTGTTTTTGGTAATAAACGGATATAAAGAGGGGAGAATGAAAGAGAAAATGTATGAATAAACAGAAATAAAAATAGACTTGATATGAGTGCTACAAATCTTATACCTGAGTTTCAGAACGATACTTGGTTGGAGTAAAATTGATAAAAGTCATTCCAAGAGGTCAACTTTTTTAGATAAGTCGTTGTTTCCTCATCGTGTCTTTCATGAACGTTGAGCACGTGAGGTTTGCGTCTCTAAAAGATCAATCATTTTCCCGTTCAAAATTCCTTCTTATAATAATGAACAATGAAAGATAGATCTCCGCATGGTTAGGTTGTAATGCCCCTCTTTCTGCCCCCCTACTGAGTGTGGGAAGCAGAGGAATTTTTTTGACGACATATCCTTTTGTTAGGAGCAGCTACGTCACTGATCGTGCACTGATCTTGAAAAAAAGGGCTTCTATCAATATCTCGAGTTGGGGTTTGGAATTCGTAAAACTCTTTTTAATTCCTCAACAACCCTGTTTCTTTTCTGTTAATCATCCTGTTTTGATGTTTTTGTACCCGACTAAACATTTATTTTGTGATTTTTTGAAGGCGTAACCTCTTGACGTAACCTCTTTTCGACTATGTATTTATAGATTGATGACACACAATTGTGTTAACTGAGTCGAAAAGTTCGCAGCCGTAGGAGAGCCAGGGAACCTTTGGCAACGCGCTGTTTGCCCGTAATCTCATTAGTGACCAATCGTTTAGTTAACCTTTCTTACAAGGATGGAATTAGAGCCAAAGCCGCGCTTTCTAAGCTTTCAAGACCCAGTCCAATCAGGTTCAGAGGATGATAACGCCTCACGTACTTCGGCGAGACGTTTGTCAGCGATGTCCGAGGCAAGCACAACATCGTCCTCGCGACGGATTTCGGTAATTCAGCCGGGACGGAAAACTTCCAAGTCGACCTCGTATGTTTCGCCTTATCGCCTATGGCGGAGAATGTCTGATTCCATACGCGATCAGGCTGGGAATATGTTTCAAGGAGACGAAAAGAAACAAGAAGTCGAAAACACCTATCGAATGGAGCCAAAGAGAAAGTTTCCTGAGCGAGAAGTAAGGGAGATTATCAAAAACAGTTTGGAGGCGTTGCTAGGCGAACTGACTTATTCAGGCTCGGAGTTTGGCTTCTTGACGAAGCTTCTGAGTTCAAGAATTATGGAGCAAGTGAAAAGTCTTAATATTGAGCGATATAAGCTTGTCTGTGTTGTCAACGTGGGGTCGAAGCATAATCAAGGTCTGAGAGTTGTGAGTAGATGTTTGTGGAACCCGAATTCAGACACGCATGCCACAGCAAGTATCGAAAATGGCACGTTATTCGCTGTGGCTACTGTATACGGCATTTATTTCGAGTAACTGAACGAAAATAATTGAGAAGTAAGGGATCAACAGCGCCATGCCATTTAAGACTTCAAATTGAAGACACAAAAGAACAGCACGCTACGTCCAGAGTCTAATTAATCATGACTTAAGTCAGTATGTCACCCTGATTCTTGTTAACTGATATTAAGTTCTGAACGATTTAAATGGATCATACTTCTTTTATCGACCCTTCTTAGCGCAACAGCGTTCACAAACACCGCGCTAGAAAAATATTTTTTATCAGAAAAGCTATAAACTAATATGAATGTAAACCAGCAAAACATTGTTTCAAATACAGTGTTTATCTTTGTTACTATGCACGCGAGATATTACAGTCTCAGCAATATGAATGATTATTTAATTTATATTCGCGAAAAAGATAAAAAAGAAACAAACTAACAAACGCCAAAAGAAACTCAAAAGTCTGAAAAGAAGACGAAATATCAATTTTTTGAATGATCAGAATAGAATTTTGACGTGACCAAAAAATCCGCTATGTAAATTTTTTTTGCCACAGTTCGCTTCACTGACCCGGATAAATAAGATTTGCAAACCACAAATTAAACTACCGACATCAGAGATTTTGCATCAATAAACTTAGAACTACTTCTTCTCCAGAAGTATTTGGTGGAAAAAATAATAATTATAGAGAAAAGAAAACTGACCCACTATGTTTTATAACTAGTATCAATGCCCCTCTATTTTGATGTTTAAAGCTAATGCTCATAATTCATGAATTCAAGAAAACATGAATTAGAAAAAATTTATACATCGCACACCCAGGCCAAATGAAATGAGCAATATTTTTCTGTGAGTTTTTTTGAAATCTTTTATCTAATCCGAGCTCATCTCAGGCGAGAGAAGTGCCAAAACGGCGAGAGAAGTGCCAAAACGGCGAGAGAAGTACCAAAACGGCGAGAGAAGTACCAAAACGGCGAGAGAAGTACTAAAACGGCGAGAGAAGTACCAAAACGTACAACTGTTAATGTGGGTAAAATTAGTTTCGTCGATTTGGGAACTTTTGATCATATATGAACTAATTAGTTCAACTAGGAATGGCAGGGTCGAAGTTAAGGTGCCCTGTGTTTTTTGAACAAAACACGTCTCTGAATTCACATTGAACGAGTAATTGAAAGGAGTTAATCGCTTTTTCGTTCCTGTAGCCGTCTTCTCTGTTTCTGTGGGTTCTAAAGGAAGAGGAAAAAACGACGATATATTTGATTTTCCAAACAAAGGTACTCGTAACGTCAAACTCGATCGAGTTAGTTATTGCTTCTAAGTTGTCTTAAACAAAAAGTGCTGTTTTTCTCCTTGTAAGTCTGTCAGTACGTATGACTGAATGTGTCATGATTGCTAATAGACGTGTATAATTTTGACATAGTTCCTAATATCATACACTCAATTTTCCATTTTGAATGATTTTTTTACTAGCCAAACAGTAAAAGCTTAGAAAGGACACTATGGAAAGCACCCGTCGTTTCAATTAATCTAAACTCTAAGGGAGCAAAATGATGTTAATGATAATAAATATTTACGGAGCCTTTTCGTCGTCCTTCATACTATCCCATGTGTGTGTGAAAAAACCGTGAAGGCTTTGCGTGAAAAAAAATGATCGTAATTGTAAACTTCCCAGGTGCTCTAGAACAGAATGTTCCCACGGTAATCAACTGCGTAATTACATTTTGTTTGGTTTCATTTGCAACAAACTTAAACAGACATTCAACACTTCACAAACTATTTTGATCCCTTAGAAAGAGGAGTCCTTTTAATTAATTCTGCTTCTCTTCCTATTTTAGGTTTTTGGGGATTAAAGTCGTGACATGAAAGAAAATTGTAGATAAAATTGGCTTTGTTTTAGTATTCTATCGGATACCAATTTTTTTATTCAGTTTTATCTTTTCTTTTAGCCTAAAGTTACAATAGGTTTTCAACCTTTTTGATATGGTTTTTAATTGTTCTATTTAGAATCAACCACTTTGAATGGATAACAAAAGGTACTCAAAAGGTTCTGATACGCTTCGAATGATATCCCTTTTTGAAATTTTAGAGTACAAGTTTTAGGAGTGCAATCCTTGCGAATTGTTAAACGTTGTTTTAAACGAGATCGAAGGAGGCTTTAAATAGATAAAAGACAAACATTTTCACAATCAACTGATTAGAGAATGAGAGAGACCAGGGAAATCACGAAATGAGGCAAAATACTAAAGATATTTTTGAGATATCAACTTAAAAGAAAGCCTTTTTACAATTTTTTTTAAAGAAAAGAACAAAGAAGTCATACTGGTTTAACAAAACGTGCCACGAGACCAAAGAGACAACTACGCACAAAAAACATGGTATAACTGGTTTAGTTTTGTTGATTTTCAATATTATCAACTGCTGGCATCGGATTGCTTGTTCGAAGTTCTTAATTGAATAAAGAGGTTTCCACGATTGTAGAGATACTCCATTAATTGAGAGGCTTTCAATGAATTTCCTCAGCTAATTGCGTTCAAAGCCTCTTAATGGACCCCGCAGGCAAGAGGATCAAATTTCAAAGAGAGCTTGTTTCCCAAAGGATTTCCTGGGTGTCTTGTCGCCACCGCTAAATAGACATATAAAAACAGAGTTTACGAAGTGATTTCCATCTTATGATTCGGGGTTTCCTCAGATTTGATTCTGTTCAAGGCCTTGACCGCAGAGAAGAAGAAATGAGTCGATTTTTCCATCTTGTTGTAATTCTAGTCTCCTTCCTGTATCAAGTGAGTAGGGTGTAAATACAACAATTTTAACGAACGTACTTTCGACAAAAGAAATCAGTTCCTTGAAAAGCGGTGTACCTTAAAGGGACCTTACAGAGACCTACTAAGATAAACTGGTTTTCCCTTTAAAGGTAGATCTTTTGGGAAACTATTCCGTTGGAAGTAAGACACTCCAGTAGAGTTTTGTCATTTAAGAAAAAACTCAAGACCTTTTCACTAAATTTATTAAGAGTAACCCTTTATCATATTTTTAACTTTTTAGCCTCTAGTTTCTAGAAATATTGCTATTTATTTATTTTCTATTTTATTCCGAGTAAACTTGATGGTTTTAGGATTAGTTTTGTAAAGCAGCCCGAGCAAGAAGTGGATATGTACGCCATATAAATGAACTGTCTTCATTATTATTATTATTATTATTATTATTATTGTTATTATTTTCCTAATAAGAGCTGTCCCAAAATAAGGTTTCACTATACTTTACCTTCGAACAAACACCTTAAAAGTAACACCGAAATGACGTATAGCTAAGCTTTCCTTGGTAGGCCAAAAGACAATTTTTTTTTTCAGACTGAAAAGTTTTTTCTTGTTCTATTTAACTCTAAATAGCTGTAACTATTTCAGAATCCCATTTCTGACTTTGAAAATGGGCAGTTCGACTTATACACGAGTAAATGCGGTATTATTTTCGCTGTTAATGGGTGCACAAGAATGCATTTGAAAAGTGTTGATTTGATAGGTATAATTTATGTTTACAGAGCATAGCCACTGCCAGACAAGACCTCCACACTTTTCTATCAAAGGATGAGTTGAGAAGATATTTACAAACAGATTCCTACGAAACAGGTCAGGTGGCTCACTTGTTGCTTCCCTCTTTCCCAACCAGCGATTGTCGACGCTAGTAAAGCAACCATTTTAACATTAATGTTTATCCTTAGTTCCAGAATACGATGTCGTTAAAGTCCATAATCACAGAAGTAAGCGAAATGAATTTTCCACAAAGCAGGACTACAGGCTGTCAGCATTTGGAAAAGACTTTGCACTGACGCTGCAACCGAATGATGACGTCATTCCTGACACGGGACTGCCAATAGAGAGGCGAAAAAGAGACGGTGTGGTTGTCAAAGAGATCCATCATCCACATGGAAGATTTTATGAAGGCCAATTGACTTCGGATCCAAATTCCCATGTTACTGTGCGGGAGACTGATAAAAAGGGCCAACTGGTAAGTATATGTAAATCTGTAAATGCTTCACCTTAACAAGAAATAAGATATTTACTTTTTTAGAGATAGCGCTTCCTAGCATGAGAGAATGAAGGTAAGAGACTGTAGGCTTAAAATAGTTTTTTCTGTTAATGGCAAGGAGAGCTAGGTTACTTTTAGACTTACGGTATCCAGTCCCCAGGAATAATCATCTGAGAGTGAGCTATTTGGTGATTGCCTTATGGAAGAAAGAATAAAGGCCGCATGTGATATCCACGTGAGCATAATTCGCGTCGTGGGATTAGCTTCTTCTTCATAATACTAGGAATGGCACTGTATGAAAGATTAGAAGAGGAGAAAGGCTTATCTAAAGATTAAACCTTGCAGAGCGGTGCTATAGTGAGTGATGGCCATCTGTACCACTTAGAACCTCTGCCAGATCATCTTCACCGACGAGCGGTATTACAAGGACCTGGGTACCATGTTATTTCCAAAAGAAGCGCTCGAGATCTGCCAAACCAAAAATTTATGTCGACTCATAACAAAGGTATTTAGATTTTCTTTCACATACTGATCTAGCTTAACTTACATCATAATACTAACTTCACCTAGAATATCGGAAGCTTCCTGTTTTCCATTTTTATTTTTTTCTTTCCCTTTTCTTTATTGTGATCACAAAGTCACGGTGAATTTGCGGGAGGGAGGGGAGGGGATGGTAAGTGGACCACCTTAAAGTATTTCTGGGTTAATTTCAATCTTTTGAAACTGAATTTTCTCTCCATCCAAGTCGATCGCATGTCCTCTCCGGTCCTTTATCTCGTGCATTCAGTTATTTTAAGATCTACAGGACAAATTATAAAATTTCTTTGGGTGCTTTATTTTCCCTATTTTCTAGAGGGGACACAAGAACACGAGGAAGTCCAAGATGATCAGAGTGAGACGGAAAAGACCAGGATGAAACGTGACGACGTTTATAAAGGCAACATATACATTGAGGCCATGCTTACCGCTGACAAAACAACCTGTGATTTCTATGGCAACGAGACACTTGACTACCTCCTGAATATTGCTAACCTGGTAATGATGAGATAAACTTTCAGTTACTAGAGAAACACAAAAACAAATAAAATGGTTTTCACTTCTGCTCTTATGCTGGTGGTCGATCTTAGCTCGAGTCTAATGGCTTACTGCGCAAAATCTGAATAAAGTATTCCAAATTGATTTTTTCTGATTTCTAATTGAATTAGGTTATACTATAATCGAAACCACGTTTATCGACGCAAGTCATAGACCCGATCGGGATCAGCGCCCTCGATCCTTTCCGCCGGCCAAAAAGATCAAGTTGGGAAGACGCAAAGTCGTTTGTCTTTCCATTTCCGTTTCTATTTTTCTTGCCTTAATTTTTCTGTAGGTCAGTCGGCTTTACAAGGATAAGTCCATTGGAATGCCAGTGTCATGGGTGCTCACGAAAGTCTTCCTTATTGAAGGGTTTGACGTAAGTGGGAGCTGTCAAAATCTTCGTTTCATACATCACTACATTTTATATTATTTTTGTTTGGTTTTGATCGTTTGCTTGTTTGTTTGTTTGTTTGTTTTATCTTCATGATCAGCCAGACTTGGACTTTGCAGCAAACAATATACGTTCTGCAGGATCGTACTTTTGGAAATACAAAAGTTGGACCTTGAATAGGAACACTGCAAATGGTAAACAAGAACATTATGATATTGCTGCCTTGCTTACAAGGTAGGTATCATCATGAGCATTTTTAGTTGAACAATTAGAGGTAACCTGGTTTGAATTATTTTCACTTATGTGCGCTACGGTGATTGGTCCATAAAGCGCGCGACACCCCCTCAACCAATTAGGAGTAAGGCTAAAAAGAAAACTAACTGCGCGCTTTTGTTTCTATCGGCTGTTTTCGGTTTCGTTGCACCATGGTAAGGCTGGCACACATAACTAAAAAACATGATAACACGTGCAAGTATATTAGAGCAAACACTTTAACTATATGTTCTTTTTTGACAAAGTAATCTTATCTTTTGTTGGAAACAGGAGCGTATGTGGTCTGAACAGCTGCTCTATCAATGGTAAGGATGAGTTTAAAACTGCCTCACGTGAACTTATCAGTTAACTAATTTACTTGTGTTTTTAATTTTTTTTTTCCATTCAAATATATACTTGCATCGTTTGTATCCTATAGAGACCCAGTGGCGGATCCAGACCTTGAGTTAAGAGGGGCGGTGGGCAGTTATATAGTGTGTGTTCACCTTTCGGCATTTCTTCCTTCTGCAATTTCTTTTTACCCAAAATAAGAGGGGGCCCGGGCCACTCAGGCCCTTCCCTAAATCCGCCTCTGAGACCTCACAGGCGCATCAAAGAAATTTCTCCCCACTGCTGTTGTCCATGTTCAACTATCGAACCAAGTAGAGCACATAGAGTTTATCTGTAGTCGATGTCACTGCCTCAACTATTTAAATTTTCTTTGACCTTTGTGGTTTTCTTACCTACGTGCGCATGCAAAAGGCCAAATCCCAGTGCGACCAGGAAACGTTGAACTAACAAGCACCTTGTGAATAAAAAGCACTGATATTTGCATTTTGATTTTAATTTTGTAATAATTTTTAACGTATTTATCCTCCAATAGGGGTCGCAAACAAGGGGCTTTGTGGCAAATACCCTGGCGTTAGCATAAACGTGGCTATTGGACTCGGTGCAGCGTACACTGTGACACACGACATGGCTCACAAGTAATTCTTATTTCTAGTACTGTTGGCACCTTTTTAATTTCTTCCCTCTCAACTTTGCCAGAAAACATTACTTGAACAAGCACCCTCATAACGAATATTTTCCTAATGATACTACCAATAATCTGAGATCTCAAGATTATCCGTAAAAAATCAATGGGATATTCAATAACCTAGATTGATTCTGTTTTTATCTCCCATAGTATCGGCTTAGGGCATGATACTGGAGACTGCCACAAGATGGGAGCAATCATGCACAGGCAACAAGCCTATGGCCCCAAAGCATTCCACTGGTCCCCTTGCAGCATGAATCAACTGAAACAGAGGTTTACGTAAGTATATTCATTAATTTTCTTCAGTGCTGTTCCTTGTCTCTAGATCTGCTCACAAAGAGCAAATGTATTTTGTTCTCAATTTGGGAGACAAGGAAGGTTTTTTTCTTTCTTTTTAGTTTGAGAGTCTGTCTTGTATGCGGAAAAGCTCAAGGAAAAATATATTATTACAAATTATTCGGAAAGAACTAGATTAGGAATCTTGTGTAGTGTAAATTTTAATTTCAGTAATTAACTTTGCATTTTTACTTCCAGTTTACATAAATGCTTGCACAACCAGCCATCTGTACAGATCCCTCTGCCCAGTCTTCCTCCCCTCTTTTCAGCTGACGAACAGTGACAAATGGCTTATGGGAAAGACTATACTGCGTGCGGTGCAACACTTAGAGTAAGTACGTCGCAGAAATAGACAACCCATATTATAATTTTAGAATGGAGAAGTGTATATCGTATTTCAACAGTTTTGATGGATGTAGCCATTGTAAAGCCGATCCTACAGTCGTTCATCCTGTTTTAGTTCGCACTAAGTGTGATATGAGGAATAAGCTATAGCGACTTTCTAGCTGAGTTTCTCTCGGTGACGCCACGGTTCGCGGAAGTTACTAGCGTTGATCCATTCAGGAACGCTGAGGAATTATAGATCAAGTTATGAGTTCTTGGTTGGCTTCGATGGCATATTCAGCGACTATTCGACTTTTATTATAGAAGTGTAGCCATCTGGAATAAACTTGACTCAAGATTGAAACTATGTGAAAAACCAGCTTCTTTTAAGAGAGCTTTGAAAAGGCATCTCCTGAATGACTTTTTATTAAAATTACCATTCTATTCTTAAAGTTATAAGTAACTTATATTGTATTAAACGTGTTATTAGTTAGTTTTGTATGTATAGTTATTAGTGTTATTAGTTAGCGTTGTATGTATAGTATCAAGTATGTAAATTATGTAATTGTTCATTGAAAAGCCCCAGACGGGGATGTGTTCAATAAAATGTATGTGTGTATGTATGTATTTCATGCGCGTACGTTGGATTTGAGATGGTAATTTGTTAATTACATATACTTGTCAAAATCAGTAAAAATATGACTAACACACTGTATACGAGCTCAGATATCATAGCTTGTGAGGTACTACACATTTATAACGGTTTTCATTTTTTCAGGTGAGATATGTTTGTCCGTGAATTTGACCAACCACTGTCAAACATTAAAGGTCGTTGATAAATATTTTTTTAGGGAAGGTGCGGAGCTCTTTTCTGTGAAAGAAAAGGAGGCAGCTGTTTCAGTAGGTCTTCACCGATCGCCGAGGGAACGTTATGTGGCGTCAAGAAGGTAAAAACTTCTCTTAAAATACGATTTTAGAAATCTTTGATATTTCTCAATAAAGAGTAAGCGGTTCAATTGAGATTTGAAATTTCGTGTTTCTTTAGATTTGCCTAGCCGGACATTGCAGACATGAACCAAGAGTACCACTGCCTATTGACGGGGGGTGGGGCTCTTGGGGACCGTATGAAGTTTGTACACGAACTTGTGGGGGAGGGGTGAGATACCGCAGTCGACAGTGCAACAATCCTGTGTAAGTATAAATACTTATTTGAAGACCAATGTTGGTCTAAAAAACCAGAATTATAAACTTAGTGAACACACCTTTCTTTCTTTCTTTTTCTTCAGACCTAAATTCTATGGAGAAACGTGCGAGGGATCCACCAAAGGTCACTTCGAACTGTGTAACACTCAGGTTCGTTGATCAGTTTAAAAATCATCCGTAACTGTAATGTGGACCTTTACAATTTCTCTAATCCTGATAATAAAAAGATACAACGTATGGGAGTCTTCTCACCTCGGTTTCAAGATTCTTGGAAGATCTTACCACTGAGCCAAACTCGTCAGTTTTGAAAGGTTTACCAAATACAAGCTAGCTAAATCGTAGATAGACTCAAATAGGAAAGCATGAATTTACAATTACTTTGTTTGTTTTTCCCCTCAGGAGTGCAGTGTTGATCGTTTTCGTCATCACCAATGCGAAGCACACAACACGGATAGTACAAAATACCATCCTCACTTTTTAGGAGGTATTGACATTTTATTTGCTTGGGGAACCTTAAACTGACAGTACACTAAAAGGTTTTTACTTGAAATAGCGAATTCTATCTAGGAAACCTGGATCTGAGTTGACGCCGCTGAGTCAAGCGCGTCCCTTGGACTTGGAGGGCACACCACGCTAATCGTGTTAAAAAAAAAATAATAATAATAATAATAATAATAATAATAATAACAGTTGCAAAAACCGCTGATCCAGACTCCATATTTTGAGATGACCTTAATTTATCATTATAACCATGATGGACATATCTTTTACAGCACTACCTATATACTGTATTTCTATAGAAGTTCAAAATTGTAAGGAACTACAGTAATAAAAACTAAAAACGAAAAACGATATTTCTATTCTTTCCAATCAGGAAGTAGCAAGTGTACTTTGGCTTGCGTGACTGGGAGTCGAGGAGATTATTTTGGTGACGTCAAGGATGGGACCCGATGTGAAGGGAATAAAAATGTGTTTGATGTCTGCATTGGAGGAAAATGTGTGGTAAGTACATTGTTGAGGTATCGATTGATTTTTGGATTGATCGTGCTATGAATGAAAAACTTGCCGACTCCGTCCCGCTCGATTGTGAGCTGCGTCACTGACCCAGAGACTTAATTACTAACAGCTGGTTGATCACTGACTGACCGACTTATGGACTGGTTGAATTACTGACTGAGCTGACTGACTGACCGACCGACAACAGACTCTTTGACTGATTGAGTGACTGATTGTGCTAACTGACTGGCGGACTGTCTGGCTGGCTGTTTGACTGACTAACTGATTGTCTAACTAACTAAGTGACCAACTGACTTTTCACCTAAATGTTTCTCTAAATGAATTAGTAGATGAATGAATGAACGCAAACAGCAAGCATTTATATTGGTTTCCCCAACTATCTTGTAAGTCAGATGAAATGATTTCTTTTCTTTTTTTTTCAGCCGGTCGGTTGCGACAAGAAACTAAGATCAGGAAACGTATTCGATCGATGTTTGAATTGTGGAGGGAACGGTGGAACGTGTGTTCTGGTGACGGGGACGTAAACAAAGAACTATCGAGTATATGGTAATTAATGATGTCAGATTTTCTATCTAGTTTACGATATTTTAACTAATAATGAAAATGAAAACTATGTCATAGATTTGAACACATTTTCCTCCCTTCTATTTTTCATCTCAATACCTTGGAAATATGAATTGAAGCACTAGGGAAACTGTTTTATTACATTTTGGAATAAAAAATTTGATTATTACGGAAAAATTTCAAAAGTGTGCGTCACACTTTGATTACATTGTGTCTTTAAATGATTCTTATTTTCTTACTTATCGGTGGGACATGCGCATCTGTGATGGAATCAAGAGAAGGATAGAAGGGTTGGAGTGTTTGCAAAAGAAATCTCTCTCATATTGAGAGGAGTACATAATGTTAATAGTCAGACAGATTTTAAATATTCTCTTTCTTTCGATATCTTTCGCTAGGTCGCAACAACGGAGACATCATGTTCACCATTCCAAAAGGAGCTACAAATGTCCAGATTCAGGAGAGTAACAAATCTATCAACTTCCTGAGTACGTAAAATAATATCTTCTCCCCCCTCCCCGGTAGAAAGGGGCTGGGTAAGGCTCGGTAAAGTGTTAGAGGGAGTTGGTCCACCCTGACCTACATCTATCATTTCTTATACTTTTCAAAATCCGTTGAGAACCTTCTGTCAGTTCATTTCATTTTTTTGTCATTGATTTTGCTTGTGTTAGCTTTCTGTTAGGGCTTTGTAACACCAACCAATACTCACAAGTCTTCTGCTTAGTTTGGATATCAAGCTTAAAATCCTGCCAAAAGCCAAAAGAGGTAACCAGGCAGAAATTTTTCATCTTTGAGCTCTGCGATTGGTTGGGAAATCACAGCGTCCTCTTAAACAGTCGGCGTAAAGCCAAAACCAATATTGCGGCTTAGTCTTTGCTCTTCTCCTTTTCGTTGTTTACATCAATTTACTTGAGTTCTACGAGAATCCCTTTAATGTTTTCCTTTATTCTAATGACTTTTGCGACTACTTTTTCTTAAATGTTTGCTAAATGTTTTTACGAAGCTCATTCTCTTAGTTCCCTGGATCACAACATTCACAATTTGTCAGTAACTCGTATTTTCAGGTATAAAGTCAACTAAAGCAGTCAAGGCGGTCGATTATTATGTCCCAGTCCCCAGCTGGACGAATACTTACGCGGCTGCGGGCACTTCCATCTACCATTACATGAAGGGGTATATTGATGCTGAGCTAATAACCATCCGAGGACCAACAAATGAAGACCTGGATGCTATGGTAATTATTTGATTTTACGACTTTTTTTATGTCATTTCTTTTTTTGAAAAGGTGTTTAGCAAAAAAAATGAAGTACCTTACTGTCTACAGCGTTGAACTCTGGACTGGGGGATCTAGGTTCGAGAGTCGGTTCGAAAGTTGGTTGTCTGTTATTTAATGTCGAAAACGTGGGAAGTGCTTGCGCAATATTCCGAGCCAGAGGCTCATGTTCGACGTAATCTAGCATAAGCAGGAGGGAAAGCAAATCAAATATTAAGCAAGGAATTATTTCTGTATGTACGCTGTGTAGTTTTAGATCATGATCAACAACAATTAAGAAAAGTCAACTTTGACATGCTATTTCACATCCAAACGTTTACCTGACTGCCTTCAGCCGGGATTTTTTTGCACTACACATATGGACGACTAGCTGTTTTCTTCGATTTTCCCATAGTACGTTTATTCTGGAAGACATGGCAATCCGGGTATATCTTACAGTTACTATGTCCCTGGAAATGGGAAAAGTACAACCTTCAAATGGAACCAAACGATCGACAGCGAATGCAGTACCACATGTGCCGGAGGTAAACATGTTTTTATTGAAACTTTTATTTCGCTTTTGAATGGCAGCCGTGTGGCTTAGACGACTCTCAACTTGGTAAAGCGTTGTTATGTACGTGTCTATTGGCTAGGGCTGCTAAGGCAGAAGGTGTTGGCTTACGTAGCTGAAAGAAAGAACAAAACGCGTGTCGTTTTCAAATTTTATTCCGAGTGCCATTTTGGTAAATGAAATTAGTTGAAAATTGACAGAGGTAATTTTTCATTTTGAAAAGAACCACTTCAACTTCACGCCTCTAAGTGGAAACACGCACGTCCCGACGACGACTGGAGCTTAGTCTTCCTACACCGAAAAGAGCCAGTTCTTTCAAAGTGGCTCAACTGCGCATGCGGGGATAAATTAAAAGCGCCCAAAATGAAATCGAGCCATTAACAAATAAGTAGAGCTTTGGTAATGTATCAATTGTGTAGAACGCCAGTTCCATTTGCTGCTAGGTGTTCAGATCATCAAAGCCACGTGCCACCGTGAGGATGACGCAAGTGAGGTGTCTGCTGTTTACTGTGACAACAACACTAAGCCAGCGGAGTCTAAGCCATGCAACCTGGCCCCTTGTCCGAAGGAGTAAGTATTAGCTTAAAACATACTTTGACGCGCATAGCTTGGCGGGAAACCATGTTGGATAGGAGATAAGCACCCCACCCTCTTACGTTTCTGTGATATCAAAGTTGCTGTTTTCCTTAATTCATGGAACTTGCCGACCCAAGCATCCACCAAACTAGTTCTCGAGATTAACACTAAAGGAAGATATCAAAGAAACTATGACAAAATGCTTCAAATTTTAATGGAGTTAACGTCTTAAAAAAAAGAAAAATAGTTATTTGCTTCCTTTCAGTCGCCACAATTGTTTGGTAAAAATCATTTCAAGAAAATGAACTAATTTTAGCCCATAATTTACCAGCCAAAGTTTTTGGTTGAAATGATAAAGCTTTGCAAATAAAGAAAGAAAATGAAATCACCAAATCGTGCTTGTATTTCACGTCTAGTGTTTCTTGTAGTTTTTTTCTTTTCTCATATTCACACAGATATAAGTTGGGGGCTTGGAGTCCATGTTCTGAATTTTGTGGAGGTGGTCAACAGCAAAGAAATTTTACATGCGTACAAGTCATAACACAGAAGTACACCAAAATTTTACCAGCTCCTAGTTGTAACCATTTGTCAAAACCGGGCAGTTCGAAAAATTGCAACAATATAGATTGCATGCCTCAATGGGTTACTGGTGAATGGACACAGGTAAGAATCAACGCAAGCGCATATTTTTAAAATCTTTCGATTTCGACGCGATATGTCATTATCATCACCATTTTTTCAGTGCTCGGTTCCTTGTGGTGGTGGTGGCACCAAAACACGTCGGGTGGAATGTAAGAGAAAGCTTAGTAATGGTTCCTGGATTGCTCTGCCAGATGATCAATGCACTGAGAAGCCATCTTCTCAAATATCATGCAATCATGTGCCTTGTTACAAGTGGCGAGTTCAGTATCCGTGTGCCAGCTGCGGAGGTAGGCATCTTCGTTTGGTTGGACGATTGAGATTGAGATGGGGAAATGGGGTAGAAGGGGAGAGATAATGGAGAGGAGGGAATTGAAAAAAGAGAAAGTCGTTAGAGCAGAATGGAAAATGTGATGAAAAAATAGGAGTAATAGGTTAGAGGGGACCGGGAAAGGAGGAAAGGAAGGGGAGCAAGAGAAGAGGTGAGCGAAGTCAGGAAATGAGTAGGAATAGGAAAAAGATGTGGAGGAGATCTAAAAGGAAAAGAGGAATCAAAAACAAGGTAAGGAAGCGGCGGTGAAAAAGGAAGAGGTAGGAAAAGGATTAAGAAGAGGAGCAGGTGGAAGTAGAAGTATAGGATAGGTGACATGGGAGGAATAAGGAGGAGAGGGAAGATACAGGAAGAGGATCAAGCAGAGCCAGGAGGTACAGGAGACAGGGAGAGACAAAGGAAGAAGAGGAGGAGCTGGGGGGGAGCTTGAGGAGGTTGTAGGGATAGGAGGAAAGGGGGGACTAAGGAGGAAGGGAAGGGACCTATACAAGGGAAGCTTGAGGAGGAGTGGAAGAAAAGTCCTAAATTCAGACACTTTTCTGGTCAGCATGAAACCTTTTTGAGACTGACACCAATTCAAGTACAAATCCAACCTTGGTGTTTCTCTAGGTTTACATGGAGTAGGCTAAAACTATGTACGTTTGTAAAGTAAAATGCTCAAATGCAACTTCTGATATAAATGATATTCAATAGCAAATTGTATTTACCTTATTCTCGACCTTTCAGGTTCGAATATGAGTTACTTTCCGATTGGCTGTTTCAAGGACAAACACAGCAGTGAACGACCGTTAGAGAAACTGGTTGCAAATCTTCGTGGGGGCATTGACTGGTATCACATGGAGAAAACAATAAGGAAATGTGCCAAGGATGCTTGGAGTAAACACTATGATGTCTTTGGAATCCAGTTCTACGGAGAATGTTGGTCGGGTGCCGAAGGCTATAAAACCTACGATAAGGATGGTTTTAATTTGCAAGGTTGTTGGGAAGGAGTGGGGAAGTCAAGTAATAACTATGTATACGCCTTCACTAGTAAGTGTTTCTGTCATCATCATCATTAGTATTATTGTTGTCACCATCATTATCGCCATTATCAATATTTATTCTCATCTTTATTAATATTATCAACTGTCTATCTCTTTGTAGCGCTGTCGGTCTGCACATGAGCCTCAAAATCGTCAAAGGATGAATATTCACTCGGTTTAACGACATTTCGTCAAATCTGTCATTTTTGTTATTAGTACATTTCTGAACATAAGTGGAGATATGTGCTAATTTAAGCACTTTGCTAGTATGAACTAACTATTAAAAAATATACTTACCTAAGAATATTTATTCCCAGGCATGGTTACCCAGCCACGTGTTGATTGCATCTACACAGCAAATGGACAGATTGTCCCGGATGACAAATGCACTGCCTCAAGGCCTTCACCTAAAATGAAACGTTGCTCTGATGCGTGCAGGACTTAGGCAAAATACGAAAAAACAGTTCTCTTAAAGGAATAAGGCATGATAATCCAAAATACTCTAAGAGATAACATGGTGCATGCATTGTTAGTAGATTTACTCGAAGTTCACGGAAAAAATGGAAAACATTCAATAAGAATGACTTCAAGAGACGTTCTAATATTGTGATCAACATTATTCTTTTTCCTGCAGGTCGTTCCCGATGATAGAAGAATCCTAGAGGCCGCAAAGACAAGTTTGATCCAGTTCCATAATGATTGTTTCTTCAATGATATAATATTTTTTTTAGTTTTGTAAAATGGGAAATACCTGATAATAAACTGCGAATTAAGGTGTAACATTTCTGTGCCGGTCTTCGACTATTGATTACACCGTATGTCTTTTACTACGCTTTGTGATGGATCAGGCCGCTTTTCTTCTCCAATCAGATGCAAAACTTACATCAGTCAAGAGTTTGTCTCTAGCGTTTAAACTCGATCATTTATATCGAATTGTCGCGATAATGCATGAACTTTGGTAGGGTCCACCTCGATGAAATAAGCAGCGAAATGAAAGGGTTAGTTGTAAAAAAATTTAACCGTCCAAATTTTCCTTTTGACCACAATGAAAAGATATTAAGATATTAAAGATATTAGCCGTAAATTAGCCTTAATTTTAACTGTTTAACCACGCAAAACGTCCTGCGGGCAGTATCACAACGAAGACTGCTTTTGCGTAAGCCTGCATCAGCTGTTCCCAGGCCATCTCAACTGCGCAACCCTTGCAAGTTAAACTTTATAAAGGCTTTCAGAGAATTCAAATAATTACAAGAAAACAATAGGGATATAACAGGTGTGTCTAAAATGACACATGTTGGAACGTTAATCTAGTGTGGATGAGTTTTTTTCGGTTGAGTTGATACGTCCTTCGGTTTGGATTTCACACAAAACTCTTTCCTTGCCTTATTCGTACTTGTCGCTTGCCGGATTAAAGAGAACTCGTGGTTACGAGACTTAAAATGTTAAAAGTTGTTAGCAACTGGTCATGGATGACTTGCAAACCGTTATGAAAACCTCTAAAAATTCGGCGATTATTTCAAACAGCACTCAACCCTGACTGAACCCTAGAGCTTTGGCTGTTAAGTGGGCTCTTCTCTCAGGAGAAATTTCATGGCAATAAACTAAGATCATCCCCTTACCCGCTTATGTAATAGCACTATTTATAAACCATATCCGCTGTCAAACAAAAGGCTGATAGAAGGTTTTGACGACTAAAATAACTAATCAATGTGCTTACAGGTAATTTAGCGCTTGAGTAATCAATTACCTGCTGCCTAAGCAGTGCGTGCCAGATTTAACCAATGAGAAGCACGATTAGATCAAACACGCCATGAATTCACGCCACTTTGTCCAATACCAACTATTTCAAGCCCCTTTTTACACCACTGTCACTGACTCTTGTTAATCAGTGATGACGAAATCTAGGAAATTTGACTACTTCAATTCAAGAGCTTGGTAGCTCTGAAGAAATTATCTGCAAAACGAAACAATGAATGCTGCAAATATTCGTTCAACGACATGCCCAGGACAAAAAAAATTGTTGACAAAGCATGTTTTCCAAATGTTCTCCGCAACTGTTCGTTGACTTCGTTAAAAAGGGTTTTTGACTTCTTCGTTGTCATGGTTTTAGTTATGGTGTCATTAACTTTGATCTACAGACCCGCCAAGATATTTCGCCGTCATAAAAGAACGTTCGCTTACCAAGACCCTGTTGCAGACATCGTACTGTCAAGCGATTTCTCGGACGATGGATTTTTTTTCGTTCCATTCGAAGAGAAGGAAAAATACCTGTCGTATGAGGCACCAGTAGGCAGTTGGAGTAAACAGCTTCAAGCCTTCGAGAACGCCGTCATAATATCGAAAATGCTTAACAGAACTTTACTCGCTAAACCTTTGGCCAGTGAATTAGAAATCAAGCGACTTTCGCAAGTAGTGAAACGCACTTTTCAGCCCCACTCAAAGGTCTATGACATTTTGGACACAAAATTCACCGTTCCAGTTTCCTCCATACTGGATTTGAATCACTTATCGAAGCTGATCAGAGTTCAAAGTGTACCTCATCAACAGTTTATAAACAATTTTGAAAACTTGTCACGGTTCGATGTTTGTCATCGCGACTCGGTGGGCTTCTGGGTCGATTTTGTACCAGCGGCAACTAATAAGAACGCATGGAAAGTCCTCGAAGCGCAAAACTTTGCTCCTTTGTCATTCTCTATTTCTGCAGTAGACCCAGCTTGTGATTTTGGACTAGAGGTCAAAAGTGATTCTCACCAGCCCAAACCTGTCATTAGAGGTATCCTCTCCGAGTTAAGTCGCGTTAAGGAGGATTTGTTATATTTTCGGGCGGGATCCATGGCAACCACTGAAATACGATTTCTGTCCAAAAGACGGACAGCACTAGCGCAAGAATGGACGGATAACTACATTCGTTTCACTCGATATGTTCAGGAAAAGTTTCTGAGAATCATGGCTAAAATAAAACAGCCGTACAATGCAATGATGATATCTCGAAACGAGGAAGGAAATCTGAATAATACAATTTATTACAGATTAAGACAAATGGAAAAGATGAAGTTTCGTAACATAACAAATGTCTTGTATATAATTACTCATGTAAATAACCTGACACATTTTGAACCATTGAGAACGCTGGGATATGAGATGTACTTATCTAGGGACTTAGTCCCTTCAGGGATAAGTTCATTCTTACGGCACGATGTGATAGAACTCTTTGGATTAGTAATTTGTAAATATGCTAGGCTATACGCAGGCTCGACGGAGCCGTATCTCATTCGACGAGGTCGCATTCATGAGGCCGAAAGGAAAGATGGTCTACTTGTTGATCACGTGACTGTCAAGTGGGCGGGGCACACTGTCAAGAGAAGACATCGTATCTTGCCGCCTCGCAACGTGACAAGCTACGGGCAGCTAAATTTGAGAACTCACAAGCCAAATTACATTTCTTGTACAGTTTGTAAATTCATGCACAATACGCTCAGACACAAAATTTGCGTTCCAATAATGAGTGAATGTTCTAAGTTAAGACTTATTTAGAATAAAATTGTTTAATAAAGATATAAACCGACGTTTCGGTGTCATCATGACGCCATTGTCAAGGAGAAATAAAAATAAAGTTTGTGGCAAGGTGTAACACTAAATTAGCATAAATATGTTACGAGCTAATTAAACAAATACTTTTGCGCGAATTGAATCGCTTTGCACGTTCAGAGTGGGTTTTAAGTCTCTGATGAAAAGAATTTCGTTCACCAAACAATCGAACTTGTTACTACACTTTTTCAGAATGCTAAAACGTTTCAGTAGGTCTTTCGGGACTTCGCTGTGCCGTTCGTGGTAGTGTTTAGATATTGAAGATGCCTTTCGTTTATGTCCATCCACGCGTGTGTGTAAGTGTCCGCGTGTATAGCCCACATAACCCGCATCACACAGGTCACATTGAAATTGATAAACGACGCGTTGTTGGTTGACAATCTGTGGCTTGATTTCTCGTACTTTAAGATCTTGGCCAACTTTGCGGCTAACAAATACTGGCTGGACAGTTGTCTGCACCTTCATGCTAAGATTCTTGAGCTCTTCCTTAACATAATTTGCTGATTCCTGATCTTTGAAAGGTATGACCACACGAACAATGGATATTGGTTCTTTGGGCGTCTGTGTGGGCTGCGTACCAACAATTCTTGATTGTAAGAAGGTGTTAATGGTAGAATTTACCAGGCGTTCCGGGTATTTAAGCCGTGCGAAAACTTTCTTTAGGCGATCACACTCATCAGAGAAATGGGCCCAGGAGGAAGATAATCGGTGTGCACACTTATCGTTCACGATTGTTTGGTGAACGAAATGCTTTTCATCAGAGACTTAAAACCCACTCTGAACGTGCAAAGCGATTCAATTCGCGCAAAAGTATTTGTTTAATTAGCTCGTAACATATTTATGCTAATTTAGTGTTACGCCTTGCCACAAACTTTATTTTTATTTCTCCTTGACAATGGCGTCATGATGACACCGAAACGTCGGTTTTTATCGTTAGTTTTTGCTAGTCTTTGCATTTCTAAATCTTTATTGATAATAAAGAGATGTTTTTCTAAGTTGGTTGAAGCGCCACGCTGTCATACAATGGAAGGATATTCTTTATAATCTGTGAGATCTTAACTTTCTTTTTATTTTAAAACAGGAATTCTTTCGTGGAGAAAATTTGTTAAGCGAGATGACAATTGTACAAAATTATTGCTTTATTAATAACAATCTAGAAAACTCTGGTGACTATCTAATCCTCAAAGGATACTGAACATTTGAAGTGTTTTCCTCTTACCCATCCCCCTACCCCCCCGGCTCGTGCTTCATACATAGTTCAAGGCTCGCATAGCCAAATTTTGAGTAGGGAGGGGACGGGGTTTAAGGACGAACACGTAAGCTTCAACAAAGGGAGAGAAAGGTGTGCCAAATATTGGTTACCTTGGTGTGATCTTCAGCCTCTATTTGCATCCAATGTGCACTGATTTTCTTTGTACTAACAAAAGTTTCATGAAACTATTGTTTTCCAGGCTGACAGACTGAACCTTTCACGATCCTCATGCATGATTAGGGTGATCCTTCAGTGATCTAAGATAATATCCAATAACGTGCTTCGAATTTGGTCATGTGACTTGGACGTCGCAGGTGGCATCCCGTCGTTCTCTACCAAAACATTTGGTCAACATTTTTTGGGGCACGTGACATTAATCTAGGGAGCCCAGATAACTTAAATCAAGAAATCACTTGAGATGAACCCAGTTCAGCCAAAGGCTCATACACGTGAGTTTCAGTCTCCTAGCTCAACTTTCTCGTAAATACGTGATATTGACCATAGGGGCATTTCAAAGTGGCTAATGATGAAAATAACATGCACTTGATCAACCTTGGTTCTTTGAACAGATTTTACGATTCTATATCAAAAAGGGAAGTACGTAAGGCGACTGTTCCACTTTATCTCTGCACTCTTCCACTCTAAGTGAATTTTGTCAAAATATATTTCCGCAGCATTCAAAATCATTCCTATTTGATCTAGTAAAATGAGACCCACATTCCAAACTCCGTTAAACGAACTTTTCCAGACAAAAATATCTTAGAAATGAAAACCGGGAACAAAACATCCCACCACGGTAAAAATTAAAAAGACTCTTGAAATTATGAAATAAATTGATTCTGAGGTCGATATCCTAATACTGTGCGCATTGTTTCTGTGGGTCGGTCTTTCTCCCTCAACAAACGCGATCCCTTCGGAAGAACTCCTCAATTCCTGTGGGCAGCCCTTATGGGTGCCGCAGAATTCTTCACAAGAAGGACAAATCAGTGATCCGTTTATCTTCCAGTCGTTCAGGGAGCCGACGATTTCAAGAAGTTGTCCCTTGCGATGACAGGTGTAAAACTCGCCCCCAACCTCCACCTGTAATCCTCCATCGCAATGGAACCTATAGCATCCGCTTCCCCAGTCAACCATTGTTCTCGTTAAAAATCCTTTCTTGGCCAACCATGCGCGACCTTGCTCGACGCACTTCGCGTCTGAACCGTAATGCTCTAAAGCGTAGTTATCAAGGCGGGCCGGTGCGTTCTCTGGTACCGTGCACGTCGTTTCACGTTTCGCGCCATCCGTTTCAGTTAGAGTAAATTTCTGATAGAACGGGCAGTAGTCTGCTAATGGAACAGCGCCACCGTACCATGCCGTGTCTCGAATAACCACGCCGCGCGCGCTGCCGAGTTCTCCCCAGCCTGCGTTTGTTTCGCTGATTGGTAGATGATTAAAATACTGATATTCCTCTGGTATGGCCCGGCTGTACTTACGAAGGTTACACAAAGCTACCGACAGCTTGCTGTGGGTACACCTCATGTGCAGTGGAGTTTTCTTGATGGTGTAGCAGAAAGGCACCGCATGCTGCTTTTCTCGCAAATGTTTCTCCATCCATGTTTTACAGCTCGCTTTGGTAAAAAGACAACCAAGTCCCTTTCCCCAATCGAGCTCATCCGCCAGGCTGTAATTTGGTTTGTACCAGCCTGTATCTTCCATAAGAGCAAAGGTTATCCTCGAGAAAACAGGATTTTGCGTGTAAGTCCCTGTCATGGCTTCATTCTCAAATAAACGCTTTTCCCAGTGAGTGTATTCTGTTCCTATACCACCCTGGTTCTCAATTTCGGCTCCTTCTAAACTCGGGCAGTTAAAATGCCTTCGTACCTCTCGCTTTACTCGTGGCGTCACAATCATGTGTACCTGATGAGAAACGTCTCCATGCCGCGTCGCCCAATGCGTTCTTTCCATCCTTTGGACTATTTTGGAGCTCCATTGATACAAACCGAATTTCTCGTTATACGGAGGTAGACCGTGTTTTTCTCTCGGCGTGTATGGCACGCCGTTCTCATTTCTGTAAAACGCGAAAAGTCCCGCGCTAAATCCCAGGGCGTGGAATATTTCATGCTTTACGGTGGACAGCAAATTTGGGTAGTGTCTGGGATCCGTGTCTAAGCGTTTAGGGCAAATATTTGCAAACCCAGCAACAGGTCTGTCTAGTGCATGCTCCTGCTGACAGTAAGACGCGTATGCTACCGCGTTTGCCGCATTGCAGTGGTCCGTTTGGATGCAAGACACATACAGTATAAAATCACGTGACTCTACACCCATTCCAGACTCCCACTCCTCACCAGGGACATTGAAACATTTGACGCCATCCTCGTCACACACGCGACATTGATCAAGGTGGTCAGCAGGCACATTCACAGGCCCGCACTGCGTGTTAACACAATTTAGCTTACAAAACTGAATATCGCCCGCAGAGTCTCCTTTGTGGTTCTTAAGGAAGTAAGCATTATTTTGACACGTCCGCTGTAATTTTATAGCTTGTTTAGTCGGCTTTACGCTGAAAGCTTCATGGAAATAATCCACTGCCTCAGGGATGAGTTTTCCTGTAATTAAACCGTACTTTTCTTCATCCAAATCCCCAATGCTGTCGTCATATACAACTTCGAAGCGCATTTTCTGCGAAAATGTTTGTCGTTTGACAATGTGTGCTGGTCCAACGTGGACAAAGTGGTTCATTTCGTGTCTCTTTGGTATCCAATGATGCGCATGCGCCACAGGTTTCATTAAGCATAGGGCATATAAAGTACAAAGGATCAGCAGTCTATCAAATGATATCCTTTTCTTGTTCTGCCTCGACCTGTGTATTACTCCAGTTCTCGCGCTAAAACAGTGGACGCAATCTACATTTAAAAATAACACATACAAAAGCTTTTAGTGTATGAAACCCTCAGCGAAACCGTTTCAGTATGTTCAAATTTTGTGTGATTTTAAAGTATCATTTAGTATTCATTTGCATATTGTTAACTTTTTCCCGTGCCATAAAGAACCATCATCTTCAAGATAGCTCATTTTTTAGAAAACTGCGTTTGATTTTACTTTTAAAAGACATCGTTTGTATCAAGAGAACTTAAAAGATAGACGTATGTTGTAGAGAAAAAAATAACAAAAGAAAAAGAAAATCACATGATATATCGTTTTTAAATTCAACTAACCACAATGCATGGTATAGACCGTGGACACAACATCTCTTTACTCATGAGTTATTGTCGCTCATAAACCGTGAATAAAAAAGGATAAGGAAAAAAATGAACGAAAGTAACTATTGCTAAAACTTAAACATTGATCTTATATGTAAACAACGTATGAACACACAAAGCTTAAATCCGTCGCTTAACAAATTAAAGTGAACAATACGTTGTTATTATGAGTACATTTTACTGACAATAGAGATGTTTCAGTATTTTCTTTGCTTGTTGAGGTAGACAGATTGTAACGAATTGACTTTGACCGAAAATGAAGAATTTTCATCTAAAACTTAATAAAAGATGCAGAAATAATGTTGTGATAACTTAAGAGTCGACACCTGAATGAGCGGGCCAGGGCTAAAATTAATTAAGTCCAGCCTTACTGATTGTTCCATAAAACCACATGTAAACTATTGTACTAACAACCACGAAAGCGACACAAATCACCCTAGATAACACACCTTTTTTCGCCATCATTTTCGGTGGTAATTTCGATCGTTAAAAGCATGGAAACTTAAATGATCTTTTGTTATTTCCATTAGAGCAATTGTTCCCCTGTTTTAAGGTACGTGGATACGAGCGAAGCCTTAACAGGTGGTGTCAGTGTGTCTCGATAGGTGGTCACAATGTTTCCAATCTCAGAAATGATGAAATAAATTAAATATTCTACAAATATAAATTTTCATTTTAGGATCTCTTTGTATGAAATTTTTAAACAAAGCAATCTTACTTTCAGAATCTCGCCACTAAACTCACTCTTTCTGCAAATATTTCACTTAAGAGGGAGGATCAGTCTTATTACTGAGACGACAGCTACTGCTACCAAGATCTCGGTAACCATGCAAGCTAAAAGTGCTCCCGTATGATAACTCTGATTCAGCCAAACTGAATTCCCAGGATATGTATCGTTCAACTCTTTAAGTGAGCTTTCATATTTTATTCTAACCTTGTAATGATTTGGCTGAAATATTAGCTGAGTAGCCGTGGAAGAGTTATCTTAGCCTGATAGTAAATGAAACAAAATTAGTTCCTTAACAAGGCCATGTTGCCTGGTTACCTCGCTCGAATACGTTGTTCCTTAAATGTAATGCTTTCTTTTACCTCGTTCAGGATATTTTTTCAACTTCGATGCGATAAGAAAGAAAAAAACGCTCACCACTAAACTGTAGCTTCTATTTAATCGATCATAAACCATATGCATTGACTTTGCTTAATCGACCTTGTTTAGGACTAAAGTAAACATGACCTGTTTCTTTCAACGAACAATTGAAAACACTGGAAAATTAGATCTATTTCCTATTCAAGAGGCTATTCTGTAAAACAAACGTGTAACTCTTGGATTCCAAACTTGGCATCGTATCATTTGCATTTTCCCTGTTGACATACAACTGCTTTCTTAGTTAAGCTCCCTACTGCCCCCAGTGTAATCCTCAAACACATGCATGTCAGTGTCATTTGCCCCCTAGATTGCTGCAGCGCCAGCAGTATACGCCGATTGGCTAAGATCCCTCGATGGTCCGTTTGAGATCCATCAAGATCCACTAAAGACAAAGCTAGGAGAACGGGTCCAAACCCTATATAAATCCTTTCTGAGGGTATCGCAGTCAAGTTATATTTAGATAACACCCCTTCCTTAAAATACGGGGAAGATCAAGAAAAAAATTAAAAAGCAAGTTTATGTGTACATCGAGCTCTGCTGGCGGATGAATAGAGAGTCTTTCAGGGAATTTCTTTGACAGGTGAGTTTCTTTTGATGTTTTGGCCATTTTGTATCTCACGAGCATATAGCTTCTCTATTATTATTAAATGCGGTTCTATTTTCATCAAATGCGAACAATTTTGTCGAAACAAGTTTAAGCCTTTCGAGGGAATTTGAAGCAACTTCTGCAAATTTCCCTCCCGTTCAACTATAAAAATTATCGATAAGTGCCACCTTGTTTATAGGAATCGCTTATTGCCCCGAGAAACAATAAAATTTAAAAGACGCAGCAAACTGACAACAGGAAAAATGTGTCTCCAAGATTGAAAATAGCAGGTTGCAAGACAAGGACGTTACCTTCTCTTCATTTCATTGGTTCAATCGATTACAGGTAATGATTCTGTCAGCATCCGTGGTTATTCACCCATGAAAAGTACAGAGATCCTAACATCCTTACTATTTCGTTAATTTGTAAAATATTGGTACCTTACTCAACAATGTGGATACCACAAAAACCTCACTGACTTTAGAAACTTTCCAACCCTAGTGTTAAGATGACCTGTGCGTCACCATTATCGAACAAAATATAATTTCCGTGACCTCACAATGTTGAGCGGTGCAAGCATATTTCTATTATTACCTGCTTATAATATCCTTGTCTTCCTCGTAACGCTGGTTAATCGTTTTGTTCACTTGGAAATTGGTTTCACGTTGTCGTCTTCAATCCGAATCTGACTGTTAAGACATAAAGCGCACTGTTAACTTCATGTGCTATTATGAATCCGAGAAATCCACAAAGACCATGGTTCAAGGTTATGTTTGTGATGGAGTTCGCGTTGCTTACCAATTATCTTTTTCTTTGCTTCTTTCCACGACCGTCATAGAGTAATAATCAAACCAGCAGGAGCAGCATCCTAAAGTGATGATAATTGTAAAAAATAACACAAAAAGTGCAAAACAGAGATTTAGCGAGGCGCAAAAGACCATCTCTTTGCGCCGTTCTCATGTTCCCAGGCTATGAGATCATGGGAACACCACCTCACATGTTTACATTTAATGACGTAATTAACAGAATAACCCGCTATCTCTGGATGGCAGACAAGCTGACTACCGCTGGCATGGTTTTATGAGGGTGCCAAAGGTGACAAAAATGCCGTTTAGCAATTTTTCTTTCCAATTACAGAAATATGTTCTAAACTCAAGATTTTTGTCCTCAGTTTACATATTAGATGCTAACTTAGTGAAATATTTATGCTCTTTTTCGCATTTATTTTCTAAACTCTTCAGTTGCATTCTAATTGCAAAGAAAATGCGTTACAAGTACAGAAAAAAATTATTCTAATTGAAATGTGTTTGAGATGTTCTAATGTTCTTATTACCTTCTAAATGAATAAAGTATTCTAATAATGTTCTTTTCATGCCAAATTTGAAAAAAAAACTCTGCTCATAGGAATAAAAAATTATCCTATTCTCAGTTAGAAAATACATTGTATTTGCAAAAAATACGTTCTAATTAGTATGTGAATTATTCTCAGTTGAATTTTTTCGTGCTAATTAAAACACGTTTCTAATTAACATGCAAATTTATGCTACACAAAGCGGTGTTGGGCAAGGGTATCGCGGACGCCGATGTAATTGACATTTCCTCCTTTTTGCGCTAATTTTAAAGCTTTGAATTGAAGAATATCTAGAAAAGGTACGATATGCCTTTATACCGTCGAGGAAGAGGCGACATTGAGATAGCTAGAGAGATTCTTAGAAAATACTCAAGCAGTTCTCGTTCAAATTGCTAGCTTCAGTCAACTATGAGAGACCCAGAATACAAACCTGGACGACTTAGAAAATGTTGTTGATTGAATGACCGAGATCTGTACAACGTTTAGCGCTTTTCATCAGAGTGTACCCACTAACAGCGCTGTAAATAATTCAGTCTATTTTCCTCATCATTTCGCGAACCCTCCAGTGCTGCACGTGTAGACCTCTGCTCCTCAATGCACCTAGCATGCGACTCTGGCTAATATTGGGAGTAAGCAATTTCACTGATTGAACGACAGCTGCATTTTCTTTGCAATTAGAATGCAACTGAAGAGTTTAGAAAATAAATGCAAGCAAGGGCATCAATATTTCACTAAGTTAGCATCTAATATTTAAACTGAGGACAAAAATCTTGAGTTTAGAACATATGTATGCAATTAGAAAGAAAAATTGCTAAACGGCATTTTTGTCCACTTTGGCGCCTCATATGGTTTTAATGATCATTTCAACGTAAAAATAAATGTTAAGTTTTGCGAAATGCGAATAAACAGACTGTAACACATGAAAGTACAGCTCTGTAGCTTCGCTTAAAAAGTAAACCAAAAAAAGATTTCTTTGCGACTGAACTTATATTGCAAACGACCTCGTTACAACATAAATATCACAGTACCACATGAAAGGAATGCTTAGAAGGTTTCAATTGAAAGGTTCAACTAGTGTCTCATTGGCAGACAAAGGCTCCTTCTAGCTACCTCATGGTATGTCTTCATTCCTCAATTAAGTGTTTAGATCTTTAACCCTTTGCCATCTCCTTCCAATATTGCGTGACCGTGATCCGTGACCCTGAATCTTTACAAATAAACCATATAGTTACGTGACGACAACAGGTACAAGTTTTGGCCATCCAGTAAACATTTCAGACAATAATTGGCAAATCGATGCTGAAAATTCAATCTTTGTCCAACAAAGTTATAAATTTTGGATATTAGTGTCCGATTTTAGACTCTAGTGTCCAACTTTTATAGTAGATACAAGTGCCCGATTTTAAACACTTACGTTCTATTTTAGCCATGCCGTTGTGTTCAGCTTTAGTTGAATGGAATTGTACGGCTATGATGGGTGCATCTTTGGATTGGGTTTCCTCTGCAGTCCGCTCCCGCATATCTCTACTGCTGTTGTGTTTCTTGAACGTTAGCATCCAGGCCTCTGGAATTTCTATTTTACTGTCCCTGTTGATGCTGTTGGGGTAAAGTTTTACGTGAATTGCTTCTTTCACCCTTCGTGTGTAGAAATAGAGGTGGCGATCAATAATTAAACTTTACTTCGTTCCAGAGCGGGCGATGTCCGGTGTTGTGGGCGTGCTCTGAGATGGTGGAGGTCTGCCTTTTAGCCAATCAGACATCCCTTTCGTCCTTCTCGGTGGTGATTTTAGACACTAGTGTCCGATTTTAGAAACTAGTGTCCGATTTTGAACACTGGTGTGCGATTTTGGACTCGAGTGTCATTCTTTTTTTGACACTAGTTGCGATTTTGAATTGATGCGTATTATTTTTACCCGAGATTACCATTGAGGGCAAGAAGTTTAAAATTTTGCATGCCGTAAGACATGATTAAATTCCCTTAAAAACTGGCTCAGTTTTTTTTTTTCAGGCTTTGCTTGTTGCAAGTTAACAACAGAGGATAAATTCATTTTTCATCATCCGCAGTTCAAATACAATTTGCAACACCTCAAAACATGTATCTTCATAGATCAATGCCCGGCAAAACTCAAACAGTATCAGAATTAAAGGAGCAGTCCCTTCAAAGTAGATCTGCATTAATTACCTCTGAATCTACCCCAAATGCATTTTTTTTGGGAGGATTGATTGGTCACCAAACTTGATTTTTTCACGAGCTGCTGTAGACAGAATTTGACCTAATGATTCAGGAAAAGTAAATATCGCCACCAGAAGTAGGTGGCAAAAAGGCAACCGTCTGTGAAATGAGGTCATTGTTCGATAACTCTTATTTGCTTGTATCTCTCGAGAATCACAAAGCAATTCAAATGGAGAGGAAACAAACAAGGCCTGTTTATTTACCGTTGCTCACAAACCAAAATGTTTTGGTTCGTTCGTTCAGGAAGGTAAACAGGTGTTATCTCGCTTGGTTTGTTGCCATACTTCGCTACGTGATGCGTAAACTGAAAATTTTGTTCTTTAAAGATCAACATACTGTGCTGGGAATGAATCTGAGGGTTAAGTTCCTGTGTTTTGTTTTTGTTGGTCTAATTTTCGTCACGATTATGATAATGAAATTTGGACCCGCTACTTCAGGTCAGTGGAAAAGATCTTTAGACTACGAGATTATGTGTTTACCTAAACAACAAGTTTATATCAATGGGCGATTCGTATGTGGAAATAGCCTTGGAGTGAAATATTTGTCTTATCAACCTCCCGGCGGGGGATGGAATAACCAGCGCGTTGCTTTCGAAAATGCAGTAATTTTAGCCAAGTTGTTAAACAGAACTCTTATAGTTCATCCATTAGCACCACACCAGGAAATACTTCGTTTGAAGAGAAGTCGAAAGATGTCTGCTGGCTATGAAATATACAACATGTTACCCGCAGACAAGTTGCTGCCACTGTCTAGAGTCATTGACCTGAAGGAGCTGTCTAAACTACTTCCAGTCAAGGAAGTCATTTCTAGTCATCAACAGTTTGTAAAAGACTATCAACATTTAACTTGGAGGCAAGTTTGTCACAACAGTCTTGTAGGGATATGGGTTGACGCGATTCCAGAAAAAAAGGATAAAGAAAAATGGAGACTTCTTCGACAGTACATGGACTCGAATTTGCCAAGTCCTGGTGAGTTACCCCTCTATCGTCGAATCTGCACAAAAGAATTGAAACAGTTCGACAATTCAAGCTTTCGACCTGTGTGGGGAATCTGGGATGAGCTGTTGGACAAAACAGAAGAAATGCTGTATTTTTCCGAAGGATCCTTGTACAATAGGGAATTGTTATTTTTCGATAAGAAAACTGTTTTAAGCATTCATGATTGGACCATGAGATTCGTTCATTTTGCGCCTGACATTCGCAAAAGGGTCATGGCCGTTTTGCGAACAATAGGTCTTCCTTTCAGTGCAATCCACGTTCGAAGGACAGATCATCCCTCCAGCTCTGGCGTGGGGCAGGAGTTCTGGTTAAAACGTTTAAAGGTGCGCGATGCTCTGAACTTAACAAAAACACTTTATATTGCAACTGATGAACAAAACAAGACTTGGTTTAAGCCCTTCACTGACGAAGGATACAGCTTATTTTTCCCTGAAGATTTTCACGCTCATCTACGCTTTGAAAGTGAAAATTTGGCTTTCGTTCAAGACTTATTGGGCTTGTGTGAGCAGTTAATTTGCGCCTATGCAGATCATTTCGTCGGATCATATTATTCCACGTTTACTATGTATATTAAGCGATTAAGGAAACAATTCTCGTGGAAGAGTAGAATGTTAAGGAAGCCTTACACCACAATAGTGTGGATTGGAGCAACTGATAACAAAACATAATTTTTACCTTTTGAAATACTGGAGAGGGTTTTGTGGCCGCCATCTTGGATAGCATTAGTCTAGTGCCAGGCCTCCCACGTCAGCTTTTTCTTGGTAATTGCAGTTAAACTGCATGCATAGCTTGACGTACAAAACAATTAAAGAAAGAAAGAAAACTGCCCCTTGCAAGTCTACCGTATCATTGAGGCGTTTCGGTGAAAAATACCCAGGCTCTCTCTGAGATTCATGGAGCTAGGGCCCAGTCTTAGGATGAACTTTGGAAAATTGTTTTATGATTTAGAAAATTAACTAGCGTTTTATACATTGAATTGAGTTTTGGGAAACTGATTTGTGTTTAGGTAAATGGTTTTCTGTTTGACCTTTTTGGGCCATCATAATATGTGTTGAAGTGAGAACTTATATCCGAGAGGCAAATTGAAAATATCATTTTTCAAGCCTAAGTTCAAACTATAAAAATCCAAAAGGAATCTAAACAAATACAAATGTAATAACAAGAGCCAAAGTTTAACCAATTCCTCTGAGATGATACTCTCGTCAGCTTTCGAGTCACGTCGTAGTTCAAAAAAGACATCAAAAGCGCAACGACCTAGGTCTTATCACTTATAAATTTACATGACAGTATGAAAATAAAAGATCACAAGCCTAAACATCCTTAATGCAAACTTCCAAGGCTAAAGGAAAACAACTTCTCTCATGTTTAGTGGCAGGGCGCTCATAATTGAGAGAATAGGACAAACAACCACATGAACCCAACTTTTTCACTGCTTGTATTATTCCTCGCGCCTATGTGGTTTGGAAAAACAATACGCAACTCGCAAAATATCCGCGCGTATTATATATTAAACCACCGAAAAAGTTGTATGTAATGATTCTTTCACTCCCACAATAGAATTAGTGTTTGACTTCTCCTAACTAAAGGAGTTGATGAAAATACATAACGAGAGAGTATTAACTTCATAGAAAGTTTCACTACTTTAAACAGAAATTTACCACAGCTACAACAAAGAATTATCAACAAGATTTTGGTTGCTAAATGAGTACTCTATGGCAAATGAAAAACTTCACTCTTGAATGAGGCTTTTTTAATTACAAAACAAAGTTAGAACTATTAGCTGATTATAAGTTAGTTAAACAACATAGAAGATACAACGGTCAACAAGATGAATACTGCTTAGACTTTAAGTCACAGTAGTCACCACAACAAGAAGGTGTTTGGGAACGCATTCAAAGCCTTGTCCGTCACAATACACTCTACCATTCGGTCTATTTTTGAAAACCATACCCTCAAGTTTCGGACAACTAACGAGACACGCACAAGACAAATATTTTAGTTTGCACTGTGTTACCAAGTCATCCATGAATTTGTTTGGACGTGTATCGAATACTTCGTGTATGCTCAACGAATCCGTACACTTATGCTCATAACCTCGGCGAATGGGCATTAAGGAAGGTTAGTGGGGTGTCACATAAATGCACAAAAACAACATGCAGCTTTGCTATGGTACAGATGAAAACCTGCGTACGGATCACATCTCTGACATATACCAAGAGATCGTGTATACATTTTGAGTTACATTTACCATGCAGTTATGCGTCGGGCAATTCGAACCTTCAACGTTCTTCTTCCCTGGCAACCTACATATTGTCCAAGCATAAAACGTAGAACTCGTTGACCTTTTCTTCTGAGCCAATTGCGCGTGAAATTAACTGTTTACCTTTAAAAACCTCCATAGTGATAGAATTTCAAATCTGACCCCCCTCACCTCTTGCAACCATTAGCTGAGCCTTTGGCTCGCAGTCCTTATGGCTCTGTCCCCTTCAAGGCTGCATCGTCTTTCAATAAAACCTCGTATCTTACGTTTGTGTTTATCGCGTCTGTGAAGCGAACACGTTCGTTTTAACTTTCCTCTCCGCGTCAAAACTTGCCTGAATCCCGCTGACCGCATAGGATCGCTGTAGTTCGTAAAATGTGGCGCCATATGCTGCTGCGATTCAAACTCAGAACCGGTCAAACTTGGTATACCGGACTGTAGATCGCTATCGGTAATGTTGGACAGCGACTTCCTAATCTGACGCATGCGTTTCACAGACGGGGTTGCGAGGTACTTTTTCCGTTGTTTTTCAGCGCATTCGGGTTTCGAATCGAAGGAAACTGTGGCGCCCTCGTGAACCCTTTTCTTAACTGTCGGTGCATCCTCTTGTTTTCGTAGCGTAGAATGTCTCCGAATGGGAGAAACTTCGGTGGTTATCGGCCGCTTTTTCGGCTTTGCAGCTTTTTGTGGTCGCGATACGTTATCGATTTCAACACTTATGGTAATATTTGTAGATAACCCTGCAAAACGGACAAATCTCTCTCGGCCTCCTCCATTGAGATAATCGCCAACAGACAGTTCATCGCATGAGTGTTGAAACCGCTGAATCAGTACAAATGGATCCGTGTAAAGTCCAACGCGGTTAGAACCTTCACCCAATTGCCGTTGCCGAAGAGATTTTTTCCGGCGTGGATTTTGGAGCACAAATTTTTTCTGATAGCAGCAACACTTCAAAGCTCGTCGGATATCCTTGTTTGTAAAGCCATAGAGGATCGGAGTTAATGCACAGTACGCTTGTGCAAAGCAGTTTACCGAATATTTAATGACTTTGGACATAGCAAGAGAAAGAAAGGACGTTAACAGACTCTCCACAGTAATGGGGACAAGGCAAACAAAAAAGACAAAGACTTGTATAATGATTACCAGTTTCGTTTCACCATCTCGTCTTCTTAAGTTAACCTGCGCCTTTGCCGCGCGAAACCTGTTAGGTTCTGTATCTCTTCTTGCACGCTGCTCGTAGCTTCGAACACGAGAAAATATCTTGTAATTTGTACCGCAAATAAAGACTACAGGTACTACAGTCAAGACGAATCCTGCAAAAGTCGAATGTGATAATGAAACAGTTGTTGGAAGTTTGTTGAACCACAGGAGCGACCCCCATCCGAGAAATGGGGGTATTGCCACGCCCACTCCTGTACACAACACTGTTATCAAGAGGACGTAAGATAAAATTCCTGTCATACAAATTATGTACCGGTGAGCCCACTGAGATTTTAATAAAGCTACACTCGAGATCACGGGAATGCATAGCGCTGAACAACTAAATGATACATTGATAATGCGTAGAAAAGCATCTTCATGTTCTCCCGAAGAAAATAATATAATCGATGCCAGCGTTTGAAAGGTGTTTGCAAGGCAGTGAGTGATCAAGAAGATGTTGCTGAGACGACGCACTCGTCTGCAACAAGCGTGAAGGACACACAATGAGGAGTTCATGAGAAAAGCTGTGACAGCAATGGCTAGGCAGACCATCTGGTACCAAGGGATAATCGAATTGTCTCCTCTTTCTTTGCTCCCGGTTTCAAGTGCAGTGAGTAGCAATTGATTGTTAGATTTGTTCATCGTCAGACACACTCTTCAGTAGAGCAACTAGACGGGATATTACTGAATTCTTTTTAGCGAACAAAGCGGAGATGCTTGAAAGAAAGGTTTACTCTGCTGCGCATGCCCTGTGAAATGAACATTGAAGAATAGCTTTTAATAAGCACGGACGTTACTTTCATTACGTAATTATTATCATTATTATGATCCATTCATCATCATATCATCCCCATGACTGTTATCATCATCATCGTTACTAATCATTCCCAAGTAATTGCATCGCTTTTAATCAGGTCATGTCTGTCACTTGCACTGGTGAAAGTCGTAGAAAGGGAAAATGCAATGTGTTGATTCTTTTTTTTTTGGCTAAGTCTGTCTAGATTTCGTTGTCTTGCTTTAATTGAGCCTGTAGCAGTTGATTTTTAGCACTTTGTGTCGGACGGTACGATACACAATTTCACTGCATACCTATGATCATAACATTCTACCGTTTTGTTAACGAATTGCCAGGCCTTAGGACCCTCGCCTTTAAAATGCTGATACGAGTATGTGATGAAACTGTGAAATATATGTTATTAACCAAGCGCGTGGGCCGTACTGGGAGAATATCGGCCCGAGATCTTGACAGTACGGACCGAGCGCAGCGAGCTCCGTACAAAAAAGACCGAGGACCGATATTCTTCCAGTACGGTCCCGAGCAAGCTTGGTTAATAAGAGATTTATTATACGACTGAAGTTCAAAGGGACACAAGTGCGGTATCATTCGGGACAGTGCCCGGTCCAATACTGAGAGAATATTAGACCAGCAATAGAGCATTTTGATTGGTTGATTTTAGTTATTGGCCCTCTGACTGCCCGAGTCGTGTAATAAAAACAACTATTTCCTGGTCAGTTGGACACGTGAAACTCAACCTAAAACTAAGACCAGAAATTACTTCGTTAAAATTTCCCCTCCGACATTGGGAACAAGTCTCCGGTTCACGGTTCCCCTCAGGAAGGAAAGTTAAACAACAATTTCTTGCAATTACGAGACACCCTCTAAATGACAAATGACGTCCCCTGTACCGTACGCCATTCAAATAACAAGCTTTCAAGGAAATATAGTTTCACGCGAAATCGTAGCTAATAAATTCTTGAGTGTTACCTCTTCGTTTTTCAAATAGTGTGCCTCTTCCCCGTGCGATGGAAATGTTATTTTTTACTTTTTGTAAGTTAGTTGGATTAATTTTTGCAGGCTTTTAGTTCAGGCCACTGAGTATTACATCAACCAGCTTGCTTCCTCTTTTTTCAAAACCTCACACGATTTAATGACTAAATCATCTTTTTCTTTTTTTTTTTAAATAAACAGGTGCCATATGTCAAAAATTACATAATAAACATTACAAAGATTAACTGGAACTACAAATGAAATCATAAAAAAAGACAGGCACTATAATTCATTTGCATTTCAGTCTGTGTGGATGACAAATAACCAATTCTTCAACCTCGTCCAAATCGTATGCTCAGGTGTGTTCTGATTTCTCGATGTCTCGGTGATTTAGAAATTACACGTTGACCCGAATAAACTATTTGCGGCAAAACACAATTTTGCGATTCCTTTAAATGGGCAAATTGTGCATTAATGAAATTGTAATTACAAATCTGTTAAATTGAGTTTTAAACATGTCCAATTAAAAGTGGCAAATTTCCATTCTCTCAGAAAAATCAAGAATTTCTGTGATCAAATTGGAATAGATTTTTTCCACATTACAATATTTTACACCTGTGAAACAACTCATCGAATTTAAAGCAGTATTTAAATTCATGCCGCCATGAAATACCTCAGTCAGGACCAATTAACATTCGTTGAGTAGCAATAACATGAAAGACAAACATGCACTATGCATTTCCCGTAATAATATCACGACATAACCAAAATATTTCAGACTGATATCTTCCGCATTCGGTAAGAGCTTAAACTGCTCGCAAACAAACACCCCATAACCGTAATTTTCGCTGCTGCATCACGGCTGTCGAAATACAAACCGACTGGAAATGGATTATCAGCGATGAAAGCTTGCTGACTACATCATTCAAGTTATCCCGATGAAATTCTTCTATCATCGACATAACAAATACTATTTCGAATGGCAATGTTACCACAGAAAAATTGATTTCCAGCGAACATCGATTTGGAAGAATGAGTAGTTGTAAAATGAGCTGTAATCAAATGAGATTTTAGAACAGCTTATGGCCTTACCTTTTGCCCTGCATCATACACCAAGTAAAAATCAAAATTATCTTGCACAAGCAATTGACTTATTTTAGTGTAGCAAATAAAGCTGATAGAGGGTAACTTTTTCGCTCTTTGATAAGCGAAGGTTGGATCCCATTGATTAGGTGATTTCATCGTCTAATGACAATAAATACATCACAAAGTGACGTCAGAAACAGGTAACCTCGTTCCCAAGCCCTTTTTTTTTTTGCATCGGCTGTCATTAGACTTAAGAAAGAGACTCCTCTAAACAATTATTTCCTGATTTAAAAAAGTAATCATAAGGCACTATAAACAAAACCAACGTAACGCACACTGAGTACTCAGAGAGGCAAAAATGTGTTGGGAACAAAAGTTCTTTCATAAGTGCATTACATTATAACTATGACAAATTATTGCACGAAATTCAACTTGCAAGCAAAAATCAGCGATGGGGCGCTTGTTATAGAAAGTAAAAAAAAAAACCAGTGACTTGTTTCCTTTTTAATGTTTAATATTTTCTATCCTTTTTCCAGTGCTGAAAAACTTCCAAAGATTTCTCGAAAACTCCTGGTAAACTAAAACTTATCAGGGAACAAATATATATATCTCTGCTTTCCTGGCTTTACATATGTAATCTCCACAATGAATTGGATTGAACTGGAAACAACTTCCCATTGCAATCATTGTGGTTTGGAAGCTGTTACACAATTTTGTGACTTTGCAAGAGATATCTCCTGAGATATCAGCCCACTGTGACGAAGAAAACTTGCTTGAGTCTAGCGCGCAAAACCAAAAGGCTGTCTTGGGTCCCAGTCTCCCTCGGCGCTTCTTGGCTTGCCTCGTCATAAATAGTAGTCGTCCGCGTGATATAACTCGCTCACGAGGCGGTAGACATAGGACGGCGAATAGCCACCGCTAATAAAAAAAAAAAAAAAAAAATTAAGTTTATTATCATCATAACTTATGCGAGACGCTGTGGGCTCATGGTTTTTACCCTGGACTCCGGGTAGAGGCTTCTGGGTTGGAGACCTTGAGCCCATTTCTCGAAAGTCCCGGTATCTTAAGGGGGCCATAAAGCTGTTCTGTTTTCATTCAGGATAGAGATTTCTAAAGTTTTGAAAATGATACAATAAAACCAACAGGTAGAGAAACAAAATGGACTGGTTTGGGGGACAAAACCTGCTTTTCTATCCTTTAAATTTTGATTTTAAAACATAGCTTCGGGCCCGTTAAGTCACAGGGACTTTACAGAAACGGGCCCTTAGTCGGGTTATGGTGTTGTGTTCTTGCGCAAATCTCTTTACTCTCACGGTGCCCCTCTCTAACCAGGAGTGTAAATGGGCACTGGTGAATTTTCAGGGAAGCTTGATAAAATGCTGCGGGAGTAACCAAATGGTGAAATACATGGCACCCTATCCAGTCCGGGAGATTCTAACAAACTAACGGAAGCAAACATAGACTTACATATTTGAAATGCAGAGGTTCACTAAATCTGGCGGTATGTAGTCGAACACTGGATTGTGGACGTCAATTTTGGACAGGATATTTCCTGAAAAGGAAATCAGGTCAATGGTCATTCTACAACATTAGAAAGTCTCTAAACATTTCGATGATTTAAGGAGGAATTTTCGTCCGGTTTGATCCGTACCTTCAGAGAACTTCATGACTTCGTGAGGAACGACGAATTTATTACAGCTGTCCTGCAAAATGAGCGATGATGTATGGTAACCAATAAAGATTTTTTAAACCTATACTAAGCACTCAGCTATACTGACCTATACTAAGCGTTATGGTCAATTAGTGGAGTTAGCGCTGTATAAATTATGTTAAATTAAATTAAATCACTGACTTCACAATCAGGAGCGGGAGCAGACCACAAATTAGCAATAAACAGATATTCCATTATAGAAATTCAGCGGGGTCGAGCGGTCATAGCGTCGGACTAGTCACCTGGTGGACACAAATTCAAGACCATCCTCTTTCCACTAACTGCCTAGTAGTTGCTTGACCCGAGTTGAAATGGCTATGAAAACAGCCAGATCATTTTAGGCATGGTGCTTTTAATCAAACAGGCATTTCGGAGTATGTTTCGTAGTTATGTTGAATCTACTCACTAGTGCAAGGCTGAATTTCATATAGATATGTAGACCGACGTTTGGCGAGATGCAGCGGTGAGAAGTCTAGAGTTACCTGATCATACGCGACAATGTACTGAGGTGTCAGTTTGTACATGGCTGCACACACAATAAGCTGTAAAATGAAACAATTGAGTTAGTTCGGTCTGAGTCGATATCGACGACCCCTGAAGTAAGTATCCTGGGCGGAATTTTGACGAGCGAGTGTTGAGAGTGCTGAGAATTCTCTTAGTGAAAATCATGGTTTCTATGTTTGACTCTCACGGAAGTGAAAGGCTGGGGAGAGAAACAAATTCCTACCATGGGGGTGGGGGACAGTCAAAAAGGAGAAGGGAAGGAGTGGGGTGATGGCAAAAGTCCGCAACTACAGAAAATAGTGAAAGCCTCGAGAAGGTTTAGGCATTGATCACACAAGCCTGGTTTCCAGGAATGTTGCGGAAATAACATTGGTTTTCGGTTGCGGGGTGTTCTAAGGCTGATTAGTCTTTTTATTTTTTTTCATTTGAAGTGAACTTGTAGTGGTGAGAGAGTGGAGGGATGGGGAGGCAAACTGGGACTGGGGCGAAATCTTACACAGCTACTATTACATCGCGTACACTCGAGTACCTATTTGTTGTACACATAGTCTTACCGGAACTGAATGGTGCTTGGCAGCAAGTGCGAGGGCATGGGAACCAACGATGGAGCGCAACCTAAAGAAATATGTGAGTCCCAGGTCACACTGTCACTTACTCACGAGCCGTTCTAGACACTGGCGAGAGGAAATTAGCGCCTTCACACACGAGGAAAATAATTTCTTCAAAATCTTGACTCAAATTTTTTTAAATAGAACATCGCTGGTCTCCAAAGGAAAACGGGCTGAGAACTACCAATGACGGATTTTGGAGAAGTTTTGCCGGAAATTAAAGAGCCGAATGGTTGCGTTATTCTGAGATTGCGATTCTTTAACATTTGAGAGGGAAGGGGGGAAGGGGGGGACGTAGGGGACGTGGGGGTGGGGCAACAGGGGCAAAATTATTCCCCAAAACTAAAAGAAACAGATCAGATAACTCACCCACCATCCGCCATTACAGCATGAGTGCCAATAATAACCTAAACAAAGACGACATCATTTTTACTATGATAACTGGCAATACAGCTGTACGTCAAGGCCTTCACCTCGACGTAGAGAAATGATCCTTGCAGGTGAGCCGCTATCATAGAAATTGCAGACAAGAAGCCTGAAGGTCCTTTTGGGTAATTTACTGCCTTATTGGTTTTTGTTTTTGTTGTTTTGTTTTCTTTTTTGTTTTGTTTTATTTCTAGTTTACGAAGCTTTAACATAAAGTTTTCCTTTCAAACGACAATTTTCGGTGACTCAAAATATCACGAACTACTCCTTGAGGAAGATACAAGCCCCGCGCGAGTGTTCAGAAATTACGACTGAAAGGTTGACGATTAACCTCCAACATACATGATTTTTCGATTGAAAATTAGTCACATTTATGTCCCCTCGCAACCGCCAGGCACCCCAAAAAGTATATGTGCAATTGAGGCAAGTTTTAACTCCAAAAATGATAAATTACCTTATTTACTCTTGACATAATGGCGAAAACAGCTGAGTCTGTAATAACAGTTGTTTCAATTCCATCTTGAGCTAGACTTTTAGCAAGCTCTTGGCCCTGTTCAAATAATCAATACAATTTAAACAACTTAATTAAAAGGATGAAAGAAGTACTTCAAATCGGAAGTAAAATAAGTAGGCCGTTTCATGTACGGTAACATGAATAATTGCGGACGTTCGTGACAGAAATAAGAATAGCTTTGAAGAAGCACTTACCTTATAGAATGGAGCTCCCTCTGCGACAATCACGCTGAATGTCCGCCTTCTTGCTGCATTCTTGACAACGAAAGAAAATCATGTACTTCATTTAACGCTATAAACGGCAATCTTACTCTGTTGCCGAAAACTCACGACATATTACCGACACATATCCGACTGTCCACCATCCTGCGAATTTTGATCGACAACTGGCCGATAATCAGCCGAGAGTCGACCGAAAGAAGACAAGGAAGTTTTTCTCTTAGCTCGGTTTTCGACCCTGAGGTGGGTTTCTATTAAGATCCCAAAACTTTTCGGGCCAGAAACAGTTCCATAGAGCCTCTTAATAAAATCTTATCGAGTTTGTTGAAGCATACCGCCATCAGCTGTAGCTGAAAACTCTTTCAAAATATAACTCACCTTGAGAAATTGTTCTACAGTTCGGGATTTTCCAATTGTCATTATTACTTCGTTAGAGTGTATATGCTCCAGAGCTTGAGTGGCAATGTTATCAGTACTATAACAAAGAAACAAATTAAATTTGATTTAAACAAAAATTAAATGCGTGCAAGGGTTTAAACGAAAATTTGCGTATGCGTCTTTTGTCATTCACAGCTCGTAAATGCGTGTACTCTTTCACACGGATGCGACCGCTGAGGGAATTTTTATTTCAATCGACTTGACGATTCTCAAATGTGTTCCAGGTGCTACAGAAAAAAATGCGAAGTTGATCATTGACACATGTAAAGATGTAAAGATAAAATAAAATACTCATAAAATAAAGTGTACCTGGACTCAATCTCTGACAAGAGTTCATTTAAAGCATCAATGACAGTTGCCTGTAGAGAAAATGGCAAAATCAAAGCAAAATCACTTCTCGCTCGTTTTGAACTGAAAGGGTACATGAAAGAATGCTGACTTTCCTTTCCAATTTTTCTTGTAATTCTTGGTGAAAAGAAAAGACTCCATACAATAATTGAACGCATAGTGTATGAGTAACAGCACTGAGTTTCTTGTTTCTTATGTCAACGACTTCATAGTACACATACCTTGAGTCCATGAGCAGGTTTATTGAAGTCACTTGTGGAGGGTCCACCAGCCATTAACAGTTTCTAAAGAAAATAATATTCAAAGTATCTACGTCAACTATACATCTACATATTTTTAGCTTCTTAGACATTATGATTTCCAGATAATAACTCACATTTAAAAAAAAAATGTTGTTTGTCATGGTCTTATTGATAAATGAATAATAATTTAATAACTCACATGTAAAGATTCTTCTGTTTCCCCTTCTTCTGTTTTACCACTAACAGAACTAAACCAAGATAAAATGGTAAATTGGCCACCGTAATGATTACAAAAGCTGACGTTTCGAGCGTTAGCCCTTCGTCGGAGCGAATAGAGGAATTGTGGGTTGTGTGTGCTTTTAAAGGCAGAAAATGGAGCTACGTTATTGGTGGGTGCATGGCAACGAGAAAAACATGAATAAATTAGTGGAATGAAAAGCGTTCATTGATCCCTGTAGGATTAAGATAAAATTAACAGCCAACAAAAATTCATGTCACAAACAATATGCAAACTGCTATGATAGCTGTACATTTCACAAATAGATTCCATTTTGCCAGGCATCTCTCAGTCATAGATCCCAGATAATGTCAAAAAATTTAAATGTTGAAGAACAAAAACATGGCACACAACGACCGGCAGCCAAGTGTGTCACTATAGCCTGAAGAGCAGGGATAGTTTGGTTGAGTGAGTGCTCCATATTTTCTTTGGAAAAAATGGCTACCATCTTTGCTTTTTAATGGCAGTGGAAGGTTAGGGAGAGAAAGTCCAAATCAAACATGGCATTTGGATGAACAATCCAGAACTTATAACCTGAACTCACCCTAATAACACGCCTGCACTACAGGCTAGTGCCACTAATGACCTAATCACATTTTTACATCTTCTGTGATCCACATGTATTACTGAACAGACCCATAGCAAAGTGGAATCTATTGGTTTTCATATTAAGAGAGAAGCAAAAAGCTGTGTGTAATTAAGCTTATTGTGAATGTGAATATTTGAAAATCATAAATGCGAACTGAGGTTTAAGAAATTAATATGAAAGTCATCTTCACAGGAATGAAGACCACTAAAGCAGTACTGAAAATAAGGCCTGAAAAAAAAATTCAGGCCTGTATGAATTTCTTTTCCACTACTGCTCAAGCAGTGTTTATTACTGTAAAGATTGCTTTCATATTCATCAGCTCTTCACATAATTCAATATATTCAATCTCATAGAAGTTACAAAATTTCACAGACTGAGGAAAGTATAGCATGTGCTTCTTAAAAGAAAAAAAAAATTAAAGAAAAATTCATACCCTGCATATTCTTCTCTTATGATCTTCAAACCTGAAAGGAAAACAACTCATTTAATATTTTATTTAAGCTATAATACATAATTAAACATCAAAAACTCTTATATACTTGATTAATTCCCAATAAGTGTCGATCAATTTCACTTGTGCACAGAAATGTTGAAGTGTGTACAGAAGTTTAATAAAACAAACACATTATTTAAAATGACTGTACTTATAAAACAGGTATTAAAATTTTAATCATGAACACACCTCTCCGTACCATATTTCCAACCACAGAATCTATAAGGATGAAAAAATACAGTCACTGCAATAAATCATGAATATTAGCTTACTTTGCTTTGGTATTCAGGTGGAGTATAACCACATATAACTGAACAAATAATCAGAAATTTTAAATAATCTGACCTGTTGGCTGAGCACTTGCCATTTTCTTTCCCTCTGTTTTCATATACTGCATCAATTCACTGCACAAAAACATTCAGCAATTAAACCTTTACACCCTAACATCAGTATGCATATTCTCCATACTTTTCTCTTTACATTTCCTAAGGTGCTGACAAGGAGAATTTGTTTAACAATCAAGAGCTTCTTTAGTTGGTGATCATTTCCTGTATTCTCCTGACCTTAATGAATGTGTGATTCAGGGGTGATATTGTAAGGAGAAATTAGATTCCAGTCACTCTTATGGGTGAAAGGTTTAAGAATATCACAGGAAACTGTTCAAAATTCCCAGTTGGGAAATAACTGGGAACATTCCCAATGATTGGGGAAAAATTGAGACATAGAATTCCACATTTGGGATATTTTTGGGGAGCTGTAGACACCCAAGATGTAATAATGGGGTTTTTCTCGGGAAAAAGTGTTGCTTTCTTCCTAATACCAACATTGTGAATATCATGGGAACATTTTCCCATAAGACTCCCAAAATTCAGAACAATATGGGAATATTTCCCCATAACATTCCCAACATTGAGAATAATATGGAAATGTTTTCCATGTTATTCCCAAAGTTGAGGATAATTTGGGAATATTTTCCCATGTTATCCCCAATGTTGAGAATAAAATGGGAATATTTCCCCATAACATTCCCAACATTGAGACAAAGGTGGGAATATTTTCCCTGTGATTCCCAAAGTTGAGAATAGTATGGGAATATTTTCTAATATTATTCCCAATGTTGAGAATAATATGGGAATATTTCCCTGAAACATTCCCAACATTGAGAATGTAATAGGAATATTTCCCATAATATTCCCAAAGTTGAGAACAAAATGGGAATGTTTTCTCGTAACATACCTAAAGTAGTGTGAAAACACTACTTAATTACCGGTAGTTGTTAGTCCTAGCCTTGAAGCTTAACTATTATGTTGTGTTAATAAAATAATGAAAACAAGTTTTTTGTATATGGGTTTATTTAAAATCAAAAAGGAAAGAGATTTTCCATGTTCTTTTAAGACTTGGGAAAGCAATACCCAGGCGTGCAGGTATATTCAAGATACACAGAAACAGTCGAGACAGTGAAAGCCCAATAATGGGAAAAAATGGGGACAACAAAATCACAGCATTGTAGATTATTTGACACAATAAAATCCCACTACTGGGAATAACTTGTGTCTGAAAAATACCATTGTTGGGTATATTTTGGGTTCTTCTTGTCCCAGGAATGGGAATTGTTGCATTTTCCCAAAGTGGGATATTCCTGTAAAAGTCCAGTGAAATCCCATTTATTCCACATGTTTTCCCCTTTTTTTTTTCAACTGGCAATTTTGAAAAGTTTCCAGTGTATGAAATAAACTTCAGAAGGAGGCTTCAAGCTGGACATGTTTGATATCTCAAATGACATCAGATTTCTGTTCGGTTTGGAACCTGAAGTCAGCACTACTAAGTTTAAAATTAGAAAAAAAGAGTTATTTGCTGCAATCTGCTGCATCACATAGTTGATTGGGTAAAAATCTAGTTTGAAGAGTTCTGTAAAACCTTTTTTACATATTGTTCTTATGTTACCCTGCAGTGCTCCAGCGAGTCTGGGAAACGATCCTTCTTAAAAGCTGCAGTGTCTGAAATGCCACATCATATGATCCATGAAGTTGACTGAAAGAAAACCGATAAAGAAGTATAAAATAATATACGAAATGTATACCAAAGTAATTTTTCAGTAAGCTTACATGTCCAGGGAGAGTGGAAAATTTCCATTGAATTTCATATGTTCATCACACTTTCAGAAACACTAACCCTTGCTTGAGGTAAGAAACGAAGCTTCCAATTCTTTCGTGTAAATCATCTCCTTTGGACTCGGGAGGAGGCATTTCATTGAAAAATCCCAGTCAAAACTGATTAATTGTTTAGCCAAATGGAATATTCGATTTTCTTGGAGACGAGTGTCAAATCGGTGACAAAAGCGGCTACTTTCAGCAACTGATGCTCGCGCACAATTTTCGCGTGTTTTTGTCAAGCGAGCGTGGGCTCACTATCAAACGCGGGTTTTACAAAATGAAGAATGAAAATATTGTAGCAAAACTTGCATTACGCGAAGTAAGTATAAACTTGTTCATCCAATACAATGCTTTTCGTTTGCACGATAATCATTTTTTACCACTTCGTAGACGAGAGGATGTTTGCAGCCGCATTTACGTGGAAACCGAGCTCGTTTCTTCAAGAAATGCCCTAGACGGTTTTGCATTCCGTTGGACAGCATATTAGATGTGAATGGTGTTATCAGAAAAGGGTAAAATTTTCCTTCAATCAGTTTAGATGTTTGATTTTAAAAGAGCCTATCCACAATCTTATAATGCAACCAATAAACGGTATCATCGTATGTGGTTTTTTGGCTATTTTTCAGTGTTCAAATAGGATGGTGTGTGAAAATGTTTTCCTTTCTCCAAACAGACATATTATTCTTGGTTTTAGTAAGAATGGCAGATACTTGATATCATATTGTCTTCATATTGACAATGATGACACAAGTCCAATGCCAAGGTATATATACTCTCTTCACTGGTGGAATTTCAATCTAGGGAAGCCCTTGGTTCAGGTTTGTACTGAGATAATTTCCTTCTTTTTTTTTTTAAATAATTTTGTTCTATTATGAAAGTGCCGGAAAAGTGAATTGATTTACTTAATGTGGTAGTCCAATAAAATATGCAATTTGGGTAAGAATCTTTGGAAGGGCAATGATTACAATGCTGTATATACAAACAGTATGTTCACTGACAAGAGCTTTAGTACCTTTTTTGCCAAGAAGTCAAGGGGACATAGCTGGGGAGTCCCTAGGCTATCCCTGACCCTACCCCCTCCAATTCAGGTTTGTTAAAATGCATCAATTTGAAGAATGGTCATGATGGCATAAACCTCTCTTGCAGTTACTGAAGGTAATTTATTTGTTGGTCCTTTTTGGAGTGTGATAGTGACACCTGCCAAAAGACTAGTAAATGTTATAGAGCAGGGGGATATTGACCTCTTCACTCTTGGATTGAAAAGGCACAAGTAGTTATATGTAGACTGCATGACCCAGGGCTGTGGTCTAGCAGCGTCTGGTGGCCCCTGGCACCTTACTTCAGCTCTTGGGTGACTCAGGAATCTTAGTTTTTTCATAATAAGCATATGCTGGGCAACCTGGATTTCACAGTTTCAGAGCACTGGTCTCCCTTCAATTTTTCTTAGAGCACAGCCTTGTGAACATATGAAGACTTAACCCAATGGACATGTGGCTTACAGTCGTTGAATTAATGCGCACTCAGTCCATTTTGCAGTTGCATGCTTAGTTGACAAGCCTTTGAACAGGAGTGAGGCTAAGGGTTACCTTGTTATGATGCAAAGGTTGCTGCTTTTCAAATGTAAATTACTTTGTTATCATGCTAACTAGATACTGGTCTCTATCACAACAAGGTCACCTTAAGCCTAACTCCAAATCAAAGGCTTAGCAACTAAGTACACAATTATAAAATGGCCTATTAACACTGATACCTATCTGACTTACTATATTATTCTTCAAGGTCTTTTCAGTGACATTGTTTCAAGGAGAGGAAATTCATGAAGATTTACATTTAATGGTGGCACAGAGCCCAGATGAGGCACATGTGGTGGTTTATGGTGAAGTGTAAGTGAAAAACTATATTTTTAGCTTTCCCCTAGAGTTTTTAGTGACCTAATGATATATTCCAATTTTTTCAAGGCATGATTGTATTGAGGTCAAACATTTTTTGAGTGCATGTTTGTTTGTAAGTTTTAAATTGCATAGACAGTTTGCAAGAGGCAATCAGAGTCAACAATGAAGTCTCCAAGTCTTTAATTACATGGATTTCATTTGTTTGCACATCATTGACAGTCAAGTCATATGTTGTTGTTTGCTTGTTTGTTTAAATCACACAGACGCTCTTCAAGAGGAGATCAGAGTCATCAGTGTTATGTTACAGTTTGTGCTGGACCCACCAGGCACCCATGTGCAATTTGCAAGAACTCTTCCCTTGGTGAAAGAGCAGAGCCATGTTTGGAACATTCTTTTGTTGTTCACTTTAAGTATGACCTTTTGCACCCATTTCCCTTATTCAACCCTTCAATAAATCTGAAGATTAAAGATACAGTTCTTTTCAACACTGGAGACTACTTGATGGCATTACAAATGTTTACCTCCAAGAGCACAATCAAGAATAAACAGGAAATTCTCAACAATCTATTTGCTCATGAAAAAGACCATGCTTCAAAGTTGTGCACTTTTGTACCTAGTGATATTGTACAGGATACATCAAACACAAGCAGTGATAGAGGAGAATATTCCAAGTCATGTTTGGTAGCAAGGAAAGTGCAGGTAGGTACCCAGTCTACTAAGGACGAGAAAGTGAAATATATTCAAGAAGTTAACTTTGCAGCAAGCTCTGGAACAGACTGTGGTGCCAAAGCTGAGGTAATGAGCTTAAATTGCACCATGCAAAATAATGTTGAAAGGTGCAAGATTGTATCTGCCTTTACTAATGAGCTGGAGGGAATACATGATGAACAGATTAAAGTCGGTGTAAGTGGAGATTTTTCACCTACTCATTGTTCAATGGGTGTGAAAAATTGTCATGACCTGTGCAACAAAGTGCATGGTGCTCAAGGGGATTTTTTTGGTGAAGGAAGTAACCAAATGAAGTGTAATGAGTCTCCTAGTACTGCTAACCTATCTTTCAACTCAACTCGAGCTTTGGGAAACATAGGTTCTGTGAATTCATCTCAAAGCTTGACTAAGACAGAAGGCTCAAGCACATGCACCAACGTTTCTGGTGATTCATCTACTACTAGTCGTGTCTGGAAAGAAAATTCATTTCATCAAAATTCTGAGCCTGGAAAGTCTGATAATACACATTGTGACTTTGCATTCTCACGTTCATACAGTTCTTTTGAGTACAATAGTGTTACAGCTACACCAGTTATGAACAACAACAATCTCACCTCATCTGTTTTCAAAGTGTATGAAGAAAGTAGCAATGATTCCCGTGACAATGAACTTCCTGATCTGGCAAATGAGTTTGACATGTATGATGGCTCCCTGGCACTCACTGTTAAAAAGCATCATGGTAGAGCCCCCTTAAAACAAGTGGCCAAAATAAACCAAAGCAACCCAAATGTAGAAATGTTTTCAGTCTTCAAAACAACTCTTAGAAGTAAAAAGCAAGTAATGGCTATTCAACAGACAACACTTGACATAGAGCAATGTATCAGTGAATTAATTCAGTCTCATGAAGACCTGCGGCAAAGCTACAAGTCCCTGAAGGACTATGATGTGCAGGTGATCACCATGTGTCCGGACAGTGGAGATGTCATCACACTTGCCAGGCTGCTGGTGTTCACACGCGTTAAGCAAGAATCAGCAACCTGTGGTCTGTCTGTAAGTCCAAGGTGGGTAAACTGAAATGATAATTGTACTTGTTTAACCTTTTTTTCGTCTCCACCTGCTTCAATTCTAATTTGTTGGTCTTGTGTGGGTTAGGTAACTGGAGAGGCGTCATTTTTTGGGTCTTTAGGCGGCCGGAAGAGAAGGCGAGGGACTGGACACGTGCAAGTCAAGGAGCGCGATAAAATTGAAAAGAATTAACGCTTTCCTTTTTATTTTTTCACGCTCCACCATCTGCACTTGTCTCACCCTTTGCGGTTACCTTGCGCTTGTCTGGCACCAGAGAAGGGGTGCGAGAAAAAATGGCGCTTAGTTTTTTCGCACTCCTCCTCTTGCGCCCCTCTCCTCCCTCGTTGTTGCTTTGCGTTCGTGTCACGCGAGAGTAGGAGTGTGACGTAACCGACTCAATTTTCGCCCTCCTCCTCTTGCTCGTGTCTGGCGGTTACCTTACGCTCGCCTTGCACGAGATGAAGAGCGACTCAGTCTTCCACTTGAGTGGGTATGAGTCCTCGCGCTTTCCTCCTGCTTCCCTTTTCTCGCTTAAAAAGGCTACTGCATAGCAAATAACCCCTGTTTCGTGACCTGTCGTAGTCCTTTTACGTCCATTTTACATAACTGTGCAGACCAGCCTTTTAAAACTCTTCTGGTGTTTTATGACAGTCTTTTCAAGCCCTTAAACTGTTATAAATAGCTAACCCGTCGTACCTCCAGAAGTGATTACATATTACTTCCCTAGCAATAATAAGAAGAGATAAACTTATCATTTGGAGGATTTGTTTTCGGGATGTAAAACCCAATTCTTACAATTAATTTTTCTAGGGAAGTGTAGAAAAGCTGCACGTACAGTAAGAAGTACCAATTAGAGTTTAGACCGGAACACCAATATAGCGTTCAGTAATTACCCTTTTTGATTTTATCTCACCTTCCCTGTGGCCCTTCTTTTCTAGCCCTGTATTACAGAAGGTAGGATTCATATTTTCCTGGAATGTATGGAGTGGTGACGTGAAGATTCTTCAAACTCTTGAGCTGGAAACCTGCCCTGAGCGAACTCGATACACCAAGTTTAACATGGCTGCTAAAGAGGCTTCTGAGCTTCGGGCGAAATTTTCCATCCCTCATAGCATTCCTTCGCTTGTGCTGGCGTTTTCTAATCACACTGTATTTACTGGAAAGTCTCTGAAGTATCTTGGGCATCCATTCCTCCCACTGGTTTTGGTGCTGTGAAATGTTGGTTAGTTACATGTTTCTTCATTTAGTTTTCCCCGGCTAATGCTGTGACAATTTGTTATCAAACGTTCTCCAACTATTTTGCACGTTACAGGCCTTCAATCGCGCGATTGATGTGACTGAACACTGTGATTTAGTTACAAAACGCGCGTCACGCGACACAAATGAGCCAATCATGTGGCAGGATAGGCATCTAAGATGGCGTTTAGATATCACGTCATAGGATCAGTTTATCTGTACCGCGTGATACACAATACTTTACTTCGTATAGAACTTTTGTGCCCTGAATACTGGTTTAACCAAGAATTAATCAAACCTCGACTCGGTTAATTGAGTTTTCCCGCCCTTACGGTAGTATGTTTGTGTTAACCTCGAGTTTTCTTTAGCTCCATGTGGTACTTGCCAACGTGTGGAGTGGACGTTGCGATTACCCAGCCCATACTTGCTTCCTGTTGCTTTGCTTCACCACTGCAATCGCGCCATTCGTTTATTTCGCTCCGCTTTACTAACTTAACACTTGGAACAGGTCAAGATGTGTCGTTGATTTCCATCTAGTAGTTGTTTAGTTTCAGCTGTAGTTGTTTTAAACCCGGCTTTACCCGGCCGTAGTAAATTGAAAGGGTTCAAAAAAAATATAATAATTTCCTTGATTTTGGTGATATTTCGGGGTTTTTTTGTTTTGATTTGTTTTGTTTTTCATGTCCTTCATGCTTTCTAGAAGCTAAACAAGCAGAGGAGTGTAGGCCAATTTCCAATCAAGTGTCAAAAATCATCTGGCATCGCATTAGTTTTGCGTTATTTCGCTGATTGATTGCCTCTCAACCAATCAAATGCGGAACTAAAGCAAATCCTGACCAGGTCATGTGCGTTTGTGATCCGCCCTTGGCGGGGAGGGTGACGGGAAGGCGGCACTCTCTTTAGATTCATCTGGGGACATGTCGCGTTCAGAGGAAACAAACAAGAAGACTATTTAGTACCATAACTTCAACAAAAAGAACGATAGCTCCAAAACATTTGACATTGATAATATTTAGGGAGTACAAAATGTACTCATTAGTCAAGTTACTACAAGTACATTTTCAATTTAACTTTATCGTTTCAACAAAACGTGTTCTTCCACATTTCGTAGTTGCTACGTACATAAAATCTTCCCTCCGGAAATTCCATCGTTATAATTAAATACCAAATATACATGTGATAATTCATTAGAGCGGACCCATTGGTAATCGACAAATACTGGCGGCAAAGCGTTGAAGAAAAGTTGTTCCCTTTAAGAATATAAAAAGTTTACTTGTGCATGAAGAATATGGCGAACCGCTTGAACTATATCGCATTAAAAAAATGCTCTGAAGTTAATGTACTTTTCCGCATGGCTTTCCGCTCCCACAAAATTGCGCTTTGCACCGGTTCGAGCTTCCCGTGCTTAACACAAATGTTTTGTTTTCTCTCACTTGATACAAGCTGGCGTTTTCCGTGCTTTGCACAAGCTGGCGTTTCCCCTGGCATTTTCCACACTTGATAGCTCAGCATTTGATAGTTTTACCAGCATCGGCTGTGTTATTAGAAAATGTCTCAACTACACTGAGTTTATGTTATCTTATAAATGCATTTGAGTCTTAGAGAAACGTATCTCTAAAGAGGAGAGGGTATACAAAGTTTTAAAAGATGGTGAAATAACTACAAGAGCGACTCCTAAATTACTGCTCTTACAGCTGTTTGAATGGGTTCGCCCTTTGGTAACCTCTTAACATGCATGACATGATCGCGTGACGCGATGGTTAATTAGTCAGGAAAGCTGAAATTCTCAAACGAGGCTTTTCCAAATGGACTTAGCTAACCTACAGCTCATGGTAGCAAGTACTCCATAATTCAAAGTAACATCACATCCGCTTATTTAGTTTTACACAATTGAACTGAACAATTAGATTTACATCTGTAACAAATCTTTATAATATTTGACAATGATAGTGAGTAATTTCTGCCGTCGAGAAGCAGTTCCCTCGGATATATCTTCCCTCGCAATAAACTTAAATTGTCTTCAATAACACTGTTTGCCTTAAAAGTCTAAGAGAAGAGAAAGATATTCCTATCGTATCCTTGCTTACGACGCAGGAGACCTGGGTCTGTTGTCTGGATGACGTAATTTTGTCTTTGACTGGGGCTGCGTCTTTTCGTACCAGTCCACCGCGTACTTGGCAATGTCGGACGAAAATTTCATGAATTCGTTGAATTCGATGCGTCGACCTTCGAGTTTTTGTTTTTGTCCAAATATTGTTAGTTCTAAAGCAGTGTCCAAGTAAGTCTGTTCAAGATTGGCTGATGTGACATTCGTTTTGAACGAAATGGAGTGGAGTTGTAGCAGTTCGCTGTACATACGTCGGTCAGCTTGCTTGACCCATCTCAGTCCCCTCTCCAGGTCTTTTTGAGACTTTGCCGCACCACGGTAAGCTGCGCATGTCTCGTTCAATTTTCCTCTAACGAATCTGCAAACATTATGGTACCTGGGGTCGACTAGGCAGCGTTTCATCACAACCTGCTGACAAAGGTCAAGCGGTGAGCCGATTCTTTGTGTATCTTGCTTCTTCTGCGTGGAATTTTTTGCACCCGAGAAGGAACTTGCGCAGACTCCGAGGTTCATGCACTTGGAGCATTCTCGTTTGATTGTTTTGTTACATTCTCGTCTGAGGCGTTGTACTTCACCTTTGGCTGATTTGAGTCTCGACATCTCTGATTCAAGCATGGATACCACGTGATCTGAAGCCATACGTGTCAACTGAGAAGAAAATATACTAGATCAATAATGAAGCTTTCAAGGATACGAATAGTTTTGAAAGCGAATTCCAGAGTTTCTCTGCAGTTCAGGTAAAAAGGAAGGTAGTTGGGTAGTAGATCTGATGGAAAGATTATTTGGATCTATGCCAGTAGGTGAGCAATTGCGTACCCATCCCCTCCCGAACACGATATAAACTCCAACTTGTTGTCAGTTGACTGTTGTTGGGTTTATAGGGGTAAGGAAAGGTGAGGTAAGGTAAGCCTAAGAAATAACAGAAGATGAGGCGGATGGAGCTGGAAAATTAACAATCTTGAAAAAAATAGTGACGTTCTCTTTAACTTGAAAGAAAACTGAAGAGGACATTTTTAAGATTACGCTAAAAAAAAAGCTTCAATTTTTATTCCTCTTTTAAGCGCCCTCTTACCTTGGACAAACCATTGTCGAAGACAACCATGGCATTAAACTGGGTGTCGTTGCGATTCGCGCTGTAGTTAGTTACTAGGTGAACATCGATTTTGTAGGACTTGTTAATGTCACTGGCGAGATGAATCTGCAAAGAATCACGGGTAGCAAGCATCTGTACGTCCTTGAATATACCAAACAGCCGAGGAAACCCGTCAACGTGTGCCTATAGAGAAATTAAAAACGTCACTATGCGTCGAACTGAACGCAGCACTCCCACAAAACCCGCGCATTGCGATCTGAGAATTGAGAGACGCCTAGAGACGAGGAAAGCTTAAACCTGCTTAGCGAGGCTATATTTTGTGTTCAGCGGTGCTTCTTCAAGGAGACAAATAATAAAAATGTTTCCGCGGAGTGACCTCATAAATGTTTTAATAAATCTCTTCAGTTAATTTCATCTTTTCTTCACCGGTTGGTTAGAGAACCAGGTGGTATGGACGGTCGACATCTAATTGAAGCCTTCGGTTGTCTCCCGCTTGCTGCTGAGCAGTTACAGTTACACTTAACAGTTTCGTAAAGGTGCATTACTGCTTTTAATTACCTTCACGAATGGAGCTGAATCCATTCGAGCTTTCAGGAAAAGCTTAGGATTGGGATTGGAACCCGACGTCGAGGAAGATAATGGAGTGATATCGTCCATTGTGGCAGAATCTTCATCTGATTTGATTTTAGCATCTATTACAAACTGGAGTAATGAGAAAAACTGATTTTAGAAACGAAACGATTTCTGATGACAAAGCACTTCAAGAAATAACCGAGTAAGCACTTGTTCAGTCAAATCAGTGTTCAAAAAATGGCACTCATAGGAACGGAACAAACTGTGAGAACAGGCTAGCAAGTTTCCGCGCAAACTCACAAATGTCTTAAAAGCTTTGCGAAAATACCTCTTCGGGTAACAGCGAAATTGCTCCCGTGGTCTCAATTCCAAATAAACTCATCTTGCCAGACAGAATGAACCCTGGTTTTATGGTTGGTCCTCCAAGGGCGCTAAGGTCGTGCGCTCCTTTTGCGACAGAGATCTAGAGAGAAAAGAGATATAGTCAGGGCTTGCAAAACCATTTTAAATACTTGGGTAGCACTGGAGTGCTTATTCCAGTCAATGTGCTGGACTTGTATCGAAAGATCCGTGCAAACGCTTTCGCCAGGTTAGTGCGTTGCGTTTTGGAGCAAGGCACTCTGCTCCCCAGTGATTTTCTCCATCCAAGGGTATGACAGGAAAACTTTGAGGGACGCTGGAAGTAACATGCTGTGAACCAGCTTCGAGTCAAGGAGAAAAGTACTGCCGAGTACTTCTGCCAAACTCTGAAATACTTGGGCCACAAGCGGTCTTGTGCTGTTTTAAATAAAGTAGTTGTGTTTTTACCTGTAGACCTGCAGGAAATCCTATCGTTGCCAGGGCGCCAGGTAACTTATGTTTGATGTTACACACTTCAAGTAGCTTTTGAAGACTAACAGGAGACAGCGAACCGTAGAAGAACTGTTCAGCGGATTTATCAGACAATCCCAAGGACAAATGTCCAGTGACACAGCTTTGCTGAATAGAAAGTGATCGAAACGATGCATCATGGATGATCAAAATACTTTGATGTTTTGCACGAAATTATTTTTAGTCCCTGTCTAGTTTATGTAACATCCGTAGGGGCATATCTCTTTAAAAGAGAACACGCACTTCAAAACTGCAGAGGGGACGCTATCTCGTTAATAGTCTCTAAGTACGAACAGAGCAAGAATCGTAACATGAGTACAAGGTTTACTTCGGGAAAGGAATACAGAATTGTAAGTACAATTAAAACATATTTGCTGTTTGAATTAGTTCAGGGACATTACGGCGCAGTGCCTGAAAGTGATTGTAATTTGTCCATTTCGGTTTGACTCTATAGTGCTTCTAGAAAGAAAGAGTGCAGAAATAAATTTCACATATTTCCTAAGCTGCTGAGGTCTAATACAAGTTCAAAACACTTTGATGTTACACCTTTTTTTCAATTTATCTTTCTTTCATCAATGTATGCTTTACACACCTTGATAGATTCGTTTTCTCGATTGCGCGCTGCGTCGCACAGGGAACCCAGCTCAAGGTCAGCTTGACCAGTAGCGCTGCTCTTTTGTGATTGGCCAATAGGTACTGATAATCTGAAATAAGAAGAAAAAGTACTTGCAATTATTAACCTTTCCCCTCCAATAATCTCACCTATCGCGGGATGTTGTATATCCGGAATTATGTTAGTATGTAGCCTTCAGAGCAGGCCTAATTTGGCGAGTGAATGCTCAGAGTTTTCTTTGTAAAAATTAGAGTTGCCATCTTTGTTTTTATGGCAGTAAAGGCAGGTGAAGGGAGTGGGTGGAGCAAAAAGGCTCTTGAGCATGACAAGGTGGCTTTTAATTAACACAGAGAAAACAATTCCGTGTTAGTCAACTCACTGACTGTCCTCCGTTACATGTACACCACGCCTCTTTAAACTTTTCCTTAACTAATCCGAGTTAATCTTCCCCAAACATTCTCAATCCTCATATTTCCCTTTTTTTTTTGTTATGTTTTTTTTTTGTTTTTTGTTTTTGTTTTATTTTGTTTGTTTTTTTTTGTTGTTTGTTTGTTTGTTTGTTTTTTTTATCTTTGGTGACTGGATACTATGTAAACTAATCATTTTACGTTTTGTTTCTATTTGATCATGGATGTCCACTTTTTTTTTCTACTACGAAATTACGGCGAAATCCCGTGACACCTATAGATCCTTTACATCCAAGTTAGTTCTATCCGTCCTTACCCTAACTGCAGATTCTTTAAAGACAAGTACTCTATTCCAAAGGCTCTTCTCCAAACAGATCGGGTTTCAAAGTTTGCTTCAAGGTTTGCCTTGAGCCCTCTGTATGTTAACTGACCGCTGAACTCCCACCTGTCCAAACGCTGACCTTTCTTGTAAAGAATTCCATTAAGAGGGATGTTCATTTGGTGCAAAGGCTTCACCTTTAGTAACCCGGTGTCTTTGATCTTTAAAGAAAAAAATAAAAAGAATGACTAAAAAGTTATTTAAAATATTATGCAAAGGAGCTAAGTGTAAGCTCGATTCACCGCCATAATTGGAGCCTGGTTGCGAACACCGAATTCAGCGACAACAAAAACAAAACAAAAAAAACATAAACAAAAAAAAAAAAAAGAAAAAAAAGAAAAGCTGTGTTAGAATTGAGTGTACTTTCTCTACGTCTATTACTTTACTGCTTTCTGTTCTTGAAGTTCTTTCTTTTCTTTCTGTTTTTTCTGTAAATGTTGTTAAAAACAGCTTTTTATCGCTGCAGCTGATAAAAGACATTAAGTAAGGAGAAATAAAAAAAAAGCCTGTGAAGTAAACTAACTGGCTTAAAAATTAAAGACTATTAATGAATGGAGCACCGCTGGAGATCCCTTTTTTCATCGCGTAACGTGAGGCAGAATTGATTTGAGGAAATTTGAATCATTATCGACGACAGTGTATTTTAGTTGTGAGATCGAAATCTGGCACTCTTGATAGTACCTTCATTTTCATCTCCACTTGGTCAAACGGTGATACTGCTCCTTCTGCAAGATTGTGAAAATGCCAGTCGAGACTGATGGATGCCCAGTTTGTTGATGCCTTTAGTGTAAACTCACTTCCACGGCCAAAAATAGTCTAAATGAGTGAAAAGAATAAAGAAATTTTCAAATGTGTTTCGTAAATAAGTTGGCATCATGACTTTGCTTTAGCTTCAATATTCCCCGTGATTGGTTCAGAAAATTCGCGCTCATTTCTCAGCCGATCAGATGCAAAACTTAAGTCAATCGTGACTTGGCGTTTTCCCGCGCTTCGAGCAGTTTACTGGTTTTGACTTGGACTTTTCGCTGGGTCCATGCCATATCTTGTTTTGCTTTGACTGGCTGCTGTTGATACTTCTTCTGGCGCAACGTTCACCATGTACAAAGCCAATCCATTCCAACACAAAGAAATGCAGTATGGTATACAGTTTCTTTCCGTTACTTTAACATATTCTAATTTTTCTTTTATTTTAATGACGAGGAACCCCTTAAGAATTTTATTTAGAAATAATCCCTCCACCTGGAAAAGCTGGCACATTTGGTTATCCTTGTGCGTTTCCACGGGAATTGATCCTCTAGTTACCAGGCTTAAACCCTTGGGGACAGTGTCTGTAAATGCATGCGCCAGTGGCTCTCCTTTGAATATTTCAAATAGACTTTTGCTAAGGTCTAGAGCATGTGCAGAGAGCACTATTCCAACCTGTAAAATTCAAGAAAAGTGTCAGAATGTTGCTTGCAATTTCTGGAAAAGCTTTTGATTCAAAACTCAATAACCCGTAAGATTTCGTGTAATACTTACTCTTGATTCGTTGGAAGCATGCATGTCCAAATAAGGAAGTGATAGGTCCGTGAACAAACGCAAAGCTTGGTTCATTGTGACCCGACTGCTGGTAATTCCCGCCATAAGTACGTCTTCTCTTCCCCACTTTCCGCCAAAAATTTCCAAAGTGATAGGAACAGCCTTGACTCCAGTGTCTAAATATAAGTATGACTCTCCAGAAAATTTCACGATCAGGTCTTTATTTATATAAGCTTCCATAGAGGGTCTCATCAAACGAAGCACAAATAAGTTTATTTTTTCGATCGCTCTGACCAACATAGAAGACGGACTCGCGGATACGAAGGCCGTCTCGATGGTGCTGGCATCAACAGGTGTTTCTGAGTTACCGCTGAGCTTGACATTCCCATCCGGAAGTGATTCCACAGTCATATCAAAAACAGTATCACAGATGTTGTACTTCCCTTTAGCGATAAAGGATCCGTGTCCAGATTGGTGTCGATAAAAGAAGGTCACGTTTCGCAAGGTGATTTTCCTGTGTACTGTGTATATTGCTGCGTAGCCGAGAGGAACCCATATTGTGTCAACGCTCGAATTAACTGTAACAATTTTCAATCCAGGAACTGTCAAGTTGTATGGCCGTGGGAAGTTGGGGAGAAGCGGTGTCCTGAAGTAAGCTGTCCAATCATGCACCAGTTTTGTCACAGGAAGAGAAGCAGTAAAGCAATACGTGGATAGCTCCATAGACTGTGAATCTAGTGCCATTTTACCATTACGTAACTCTGCCTTTACGTCTTTAACAAGACTGAATACTTCCTTGTTGTAAATTTTAACGTTTCGGCTTAATCTTTGATTGCATAACGAAAAGGTCCTCTTCCATGGCTTGATATCTACTTGAAATGGATCTGCATTATAAAGAAATATTTTTAACGTTTTTTTTCCAGTTTTACATCATCATCAGTAACGTTTGGTCGCTTTCAACTGGGTTTCCTAACCGATCACCTTCACAATCAACATCTCATGTGTCTTCTGGGCATCTTACAAAAAAGATATAAAAACGATTCCATTTTTCTCCTGGCTCACCTTTCGAAGTCTCACACGATTGCTTTTTGTTTCCTTGAAAATAAAAATAAAAAGGTCAAATCAAAATGTTAGATAACAAACCTGAAAGTGCGGTTAACCCAAACAGTATGCTTCTGGTTAAGTACACCCCCACACAAACAGCCGCCCACCCAACCTTTTCACGTACACATGAGCAAATTGATAGAGATTATTCCATAGAAAGTGGGCACGAACAATTTTTATTCACGAGTTGCTATGCATAAAAAAAACACGCGATCGCTGCGCTCACTTGTTTGTTTTGTGATGCATCACAATAAATGAATAAAAATCGTTCAAGCACTTTCGATGATATGATGGTTTTGTTTTTTTGTTTTTTTTTTTTTTCTTACTGACCAACACATTTCAAAGGCTGGAAACGAGCAACTGGGAAAATACATCATTCATCCAATCAGAGACAAGAACGATGGTACTTAACAGCGTAAATCTCAAAATTTATGAAATGAAGGAGTTATCTCAAATTTTCACCAAAAAAGATTCATGTAATAGAGAAATTTATTACATCGCTCGCAGCGCCCGTAGGCAAGATGAAGCGAATCCTCAGGGGTTTCATTAAGGGGCCTGGGCACCGGGCAAATTGACCGGTTGTGAGGACGGCTTTGCCCACCTGATTTGACAGTCTGGAGGAAAGTTTATCTTATAAAGATCAGTTCAAAGAGTTTTGCCCGCCTGTGAAAACCAGTTGCCCTCCTGCAGAAAACATTAATGAAGCCCCTGGAATCCTGTGTTCTAATTGGCTACCCGAGCAGGCAAGATGGGCCCATCTTGGCCGCTCAGGATGCCCGCACTGATACCGCGTATGAAAAAAAAATTGAATTGAACTACGTTCGTAATTCTTGGGCAATTTCGGTGATGGAAACGCAAAAGGTGGCGATGTTAGCAAGATTGAGACCAATCTGTTATCTATATTAGATAGTGTTACTCAGTGGCTGAGTGCTAATTATATAATACTCAACTCCACCAAATCTAAAGTAATGCCTGTGGGTACCCATCAAAGGCTTGCCTCTAAGTCGTTCTCCATATCATGTAACGACCGTGACTTAGAGGGATTAGGGTATCATTTTGTACAACGCAATGATACTCCTCCTTTTTGACTATTACTCAGTTGTATGGGATAGTTGTGGGGCTGTATCTAAAGGGTACCTTGATAAGCTTAATAGGCGTGCGGCGAGTATCATCTTGAATAGGGCTTTGACTGAAACAGATATTGTTCGTATTCTTGGTTGGCCTAGCCTTCAGTCTCGTAGAGACTATCTTAAATGCATGCTGGCCTTCAAATCTATGAACGGCATGGCACCTTCCTACTTATTTACTGATTTTACTCAAGCTAAGAAATATCATACATATAATACCAGGCATAGCGATTTGATTCGTCTTCCTTTGGCCAAAAGCAGTAAATATCAAGGCAGTTTTAGATATAATGGTGGGTGCACTTTTAATAATCTGCCCAAAGCAATAAGGTCGCCGGAAAGCCTTGAAACTTTTAGTTATGTAGACTTTGTATATATTTTGTTCAATGAGTTTTACCTTTTGTCTGTCAATTTTTTGTGTAAACTTTGTACGGTCAAATTTTTTTTCGTAGGGCTCTCTTTAAACTAGCTATGCTAAATGTGATGTCCCTGTTTAAATATTGATTAAATAAATAAATAAATAAATAAAAATAGGTCAATAAATAAAGCGGCAGAAGATAGCCAAAACAAAGAAAACAGAAACGACTCTCGTGAGTTTGTTGTGCTACAAACACAGCTGGCTTTCTTTCCTGGCTCTCAAGTAAACAAGTCATTACTAATTCTCAATAAAGTTAAATCTTTTTGCGACATTATAAATACTTTATTAACCAAGTTTGTTCGGTCAAGATGGCTGGATATCAGCCTCGTTCTTTTTTTCGCATTTTTATAGACCTCAACTTCGTCTCGGTCCATAAAAATACAAAAAAAAAACTCTGCCAGTATCCAGCGATATTGACCTCGCGCTTGGTTAATAACGCTTATATAACACCTAGATTCATGAATCGCATTTATAACTTACATACATACATACGTACGTACGTACGTACATACATACATACATACATACATTTAACAAATGGTAAACAACACAGCGTACACTATTGAGTTATGGATGCACGCGGGAGGTTGCTAAGCACGAAAGAAGTGTAAGAGTAGCGCGAGGCGATAGCCGAGAGCGACTCTAGCTTCTTGAGTGCTTAGCAAACCTCCCAAGTGCATCCATAACTCAATAGTGTACGCTGTGGTGTTTACCATTTGTTTTATAACATAACATTGATACATTGTAGCTAAAGAGTTCCCTTTTATTTAACAAATCGTACGTGACCAGAAAAAACAAGCGCGCGCGAAAAAATAGTCTTTGCATTTGCTCACGTCAGTAGCGTACACCCGTGGGCAAATGGGGGACACTAAATTGACCAATCAGAGTGCGCGCTTTACTTTGGTTATGTTATAAATGTTAGTTGACCACTCTCCATGGGGGCTTTTCAGGGCCAATTCCCACCCATCCCACCCCAGGGGAAGACATCCACAACACAGTAATCTCGTGCGTGGGAAATTAACGTCTGCTGCCCCTTACCCTGCGGGAGACGGGGCCTACGATGTATTCGTCCTTATCCGAGAAGACTAGAATATTCATCCATTTCTTGATTATAGAAAGGTAGCAAATTCTCCCCACTTATTTTAAGACCATGAGTACCGGTCCGGCCGGGGCTTGAACCCTCGATCTCCCGCACAACACTATCCGGCGCTCTAACCAATTGAGCTAACCGGGAGGCGATTTTAATGATAATCACTTTAAACGCTTATATTTCAATCGAGTTATCTTCGATCGAGTGTCGTTACACCGATCAAGGTAATAAAAAAAATAATAAAACTTAGCCCTCCACACCCTAACAATAATATCCATATTCCCCAAATTGTTCTACAGTAACTACACATTTCCCATAATGCTGATAGGGAGAGTTTCTTTAACAATCAGGGGTAAACGAGTAAAGGTAGCTCTGTTCCTTTAACAAACTGATCAGTGTGAATGGTCGAGGAACGTATGCGAATTACAAATAATCATCAACCCAGAGCAAGCTACCAAGATATGGCTTCAGACTATTGAATCAACCATGCTTCATATCACCTTTCCCTATTTTTTCGCCAGTCAAACACAACTGCAAGCTATGAAAGTCTTAAAAAAGTTCTAATCACTAAGCATTGCTGAATACTTACTTATCGGTAAACAATTCTTGGCCTCAACCGTGCTCTGAAACGGTAGCAAGGAACAGTTGGGAACAATTTCTTCGACATTTTCACCAAGCCTTTCGTTAAGCAATTCAATTTCTTTTGAACAGGCTCTGCCTTGAATAACTTCACAGTCGTCCTTGCAAAGACGTCTAGGAGACCTTTTATGCTTTCCGCCTTGGCACGGTGCGAAGAGGTTATAACAAAGGGCTTGTAGAAGCGAATCTTTGCATTGAGGACTCATGTAGTCCGTTAGGACTGAAGCGGCATGAACGATTTTCTTTTCTGATTCGTGTTGGGGTCTGAGTTGTTTAACAAACACTTTGGTGTCCTTGGAGATGTATCTTGAGCAAATGGATCCGTTGTATGGCCTGCACGTCCCATCACTTCAAAAAAAAAGAATGTCAAGGCCTGTTTAAGACATTTGGCCAGTTCTCGCGGATCAAAAGGGTACATACTGGATGTTTTTCCTTTATTAATTTCAGCATGCTTTGCATTTTAAGGTACGTCCTTAACAGAAGTGTCAATAGTGTGTGCATGTTCTGAGATTAAGTTCGTGATTAATTAAAACGTAAGGGTACTATAATCCAAACAGACTACTGGCGGAACAGATCTAAATCAATTTTGAATTGGATTTAAAAATAATTTTTAAGAATGAATATCCTTCAATGCTCAACCCCTCCCCTTGCGTGGAAGAATACCTAACCCTTACCCTTGCGGGAAAGAATGCCTAACCCCTCCCCTTGCGGGAAAGAATGCCTAACCCCTCCCCTTGCGTGGAAGAATGCCTAACCCCTCCCCTTGCGGGAAAGAATGCCTAACCCCTCCCCTTGCGCGTAAGAATGCCTAACCCCTCCCCTTGCGCGTAAGAATGCCTAACCCCTCCCCTTGCGCGTAAGAATGCCTAACCCCTCCCCTTGCGCGTAAGAATGCCTAACCCCTCCCCTTGCGAGGAAGAATGCCTAACCCCTCCCCTTGCGGGAAAGAATGCCTAACCCCTCCCCTTGCGGGGAAGAATGCCTAACCCCTCCCCTTGCGTGGAAGAATGCCTAACCCTCCGGGGATCTCTCGACCTCACAGGCAATTTAGTTCTTACGGATTAATACCAATGCTTGTTTTTACTTTGTATTGTGATTGATGAGTGAAAGCAACTTAGCTGAGCGACTCTAAAATTATTCAAGGACTATGCATATCAAAGGTATAGCAAATTGGAAGTTAAAGTGCGCATCGAATCGTGTGCCAAACTGATATTTTTCCCGCATGTCAAAGGCACGCCAAATTGCATGTTAAATTAATTGCGTATCGAATCGTGTACCAAATTGATTGCTTTATGCATGTCAAAGGGCATACTAAATTGCAAGTTTCCGAAAAAAAAAATGAAAATCTGCGAAAGCGTCCGAGTTATTAAGAAAACCGTATTTTCAATTAAACGTTAATAAATCAGGAAGGTGTCATAATCTCGACCCTGGGCGAGTCCCTTGGGGCCAAATTGATAGCTTTTGTGCCTGTCAAAGGGCGTACCAAAGAGCATATTAGAATACGCACCGAATCGAGTGCCAAATTGCTTGCGAAATTGAAATTGATAAGCTTTCTTACATTATCAACGCACCTTATGACTGTCACCTTTGCTTTTCCACTGTTAACCTGTCCGTGACGGTTCTTGGCGAAACAATGATAGATACCACTGTCTTGAGGACCCGCATTTTTTATCCTCAGTCGAGTTTTGTGTCGAATCATAACTCTCTTATCATCGGTTGAAATGGACCGGCCATCTTTTCTCCATTTGATTCGAGGCTTGGGTTTCCCTGTTGCTTCACAAATAAGGGAGAGTCCTTTGCCCTCTCTGATCGTTTTATTTACGGGGGACCTGACAAATATCGGAGATCCTAGAAACAAACAATTATTCATTAATTTCAAGTGCATTAAGTCAAATTTTTCTTGTCACGGGGTGTAGAAATAAAAAAGAGGTGTCGACACAGTAAGGCATTTTGAAACAATTTAGATGGATCCTTTTCAAGTTTATTACTTGTTATCGGATTTCTTGTCCATTGTGGTCTTCTATCGTACCGAGAAAGTATGATGTTATAGTCTTGTTCATTTTCGGAGTAGCTTTTTAAAGGCAACAAAGTAATGAAATAAAAGCAATCGGAGTTCTTTTCTTTGGGTTAAAAACGTTTCTTTCTCCTTTGAATCATCGTTCTTTTGTTTTTGTACCGTCCGTTTTCCTAATTCCTCGCTCCCGCCGAAAAAACAAAGAACTGGACTAACATCCACTGACAGCTTTAAAGATTGATAAATTTCTATAGTACAGACGAAGCCAATCACTTTTTTTATGTGACTTGGCAAACTGTGATGTTCATTTGAACTATTCTGAGACTGTCGTAAACAAACAATCAACCGGACATGGAAGAATTCGGCTGGAGTGTAAAAATGTCCACCATTCTTGGACCTTGGATGGATCCGTGTTATTTTCTTAACAACATCAGCACACATTACTCGTCAGCTCTCAAGGGTTGAATAAACTGACAGACATATTCCGATATAAGCTAAACCACAAATGATCCCGGGTCAAATCGTGGGATTTGTGCGTGGGGTGGGAAGAGGTCATTGGGAGTAGAGAGTAGAGAGAGAACTCCAGCTTCCATAGTTTAAATGACTTAAACAGACCTATGCTGATATGACTTTGCAGCATAGCAAAAGATCCTAGGTTAAGTTTAGGGGAAGGGAAAATATTTCATGAAAATCGAAGTGGACACAGCTTGAGTATGTTGATCACGATTGGGGAGGAATGAGGAACTTTTTTCTTCAAGATCAGCACTTCAAGAAGACGTTTTCGTTGGATGCAAGATTTGCTGATCCAAATCCATGATATTAATTCGTTGTAAGGATTTCTTGTGTGAAAACTGTCTTTGGAATCTTTAAATTCACAGCTGATCCTTAAGCTAAACTCAGTTTGCATAGCACGAACAATTAATCTTGTTCGAAGCAAGCCCCCAAAATAGTCATCTCTTTAATCTTCTTTAGATATCTAATAAATCCGTATTATCGCAAAATTAAGTAAAGCCAAGGGCGACGGAAGTCTGAGAGCAGCAAATTCAATTTTCAGGAATGACTCTACATGTTTAGTGTTTGTGTTTGTGGTTATTTTGTTGTTGTTGTTTTGTTTTGCTTGCCCTAGGCTCGCTTCGTACTTTATCCGGACGCTGTATAAGTTCGCGTGGTTGATGATCCAGTTGCTTTCGAAGTTCACTGTTTGAACACAAGCATGGCGAACTTTATAAAATCCGATATAGATTATGTTGAACTATTTTTGTCCTATTTCATTTTCCGAAAATAGAGTTTTGTATTTAAGTGTAGCGATCTCAACCAAATGCTGGCAAGTGAGCATCACCGCAAAACGATTATACGTAATATTTGTACCGAAAAATGACAGCATGTTACATGAGATTTTACACATATGACGTTTAATATGAACTATTGAACTTACCTTTATTGTCATGATGAACAAACTGCAAAAAAAGAAAACACTGATCAGTGATAGGACTTAACAGGACTTATCTTCAACGCCAGTATATATATATATATATATATATATATATATATATATATATATATATATAATTAATGAAACACACATGATTCCCTGTTACTCTGAGTTTCGTGCTTTCGCACTCGTCTGACATATTTCTCGAGTGCGAAAGCACAAAACTCAGAGTAACAGAGAATCATGTGTGTTTCATTTTAGCCAGATCAAATTGTATTTCGCTCTACATTCATGTGTATTGAGCACTTTCTAGCAGCATTTACGACAATTTCCCACAATTATATATATAGTCGTTAATGAAACTCTCAGGCCAACAAAGGTGCACCGCGCCAGGAGGATCAATAAAGATTCGCAGTAGCAAAATTTTTTATATTTTTTTACGTCAGAAGTTGTCCATCCTCGCAATTTTTTAAACTTTGTATATATATATATATATATACAATACAATACAACATTCTTTCTTTAACGAAGGTGAGGTACATATAATATATATATACAACAATCTTAAAAATGAAGAAAACAGAATTCGATCGACTGGGTAGCTATAGTTACTATGGTTTGTCATCTGCAGAATGTATTTTCTCCCATCCTCGAGTAAACTTCGTTTTTTTGTGGTTAATTCAAGTTTTTATTCGACAGTTTTAAAGCGATCACTCTATTCCTAGCACTGGAATGAACCAACTCGGAAACATCGTAAATTAAAATCTTCGCAAGGGTGGTTACTCTGAGAACAGATCTTTGGTATCTGCTTCAGTGATCATGAAGAGTAACCCCTATATAACTAAGAGTTATTCAATGTATAAGTTCATTAACAAACTGTGATAATGCATTAGTGCCGGTGGGTATCTGCTCCGTTGAAGGTCCTAACCCTTGAAACGACAGTTTTAGGAACTCTTTACGATAGCCACTCAATCTACTATTATTAACTCTGGTAGTGGAGCCAAATTATATCACGAGAAAGCCCCAAGAAGGATAGCTCTATCCTTTTCAGTCTATCCTTGAACCCTATGTGATTGCTATCATGAAATCTAAAGCCCTCTAAACATACGCGACAACTCGATTTTTAAAATATATTTTTCGATGACTGAGTTTCATTTCAAGCTCTATGTGTGCTTCCCAACAACTGGTTGGAACCTATTTTGTCTTTCGGAAAAATCCAAGCCAAGGTCGAGAAGCTCTGTCATCCACGTAGGAATTACCGCTCATTTCTCTACATTGTCTTCGGTTTTAATTTGGAAACTTCAATTCACCAAATGGAATTAAAGATCTGACCTCGAGCAATCAACACGTAATGGACTACATTGTTTATTCAGTGTATAGCCTGAATTCCCAGTCACATTACAAGTACCACAAGTATCCAAAACTATTCTGTCATTGTGGTTTCCGTTCCTTCCTGTTCCACACAAACTACTCTTTTGAATTACTATAAAAATATCGTTACATAACGTGTTTGTCTTTCAAGATACTTCCCAAGGTGCACGTGTCTGGAGGTTTTGTCGGTTTGTTTGTTTTTCTTTGCAGAGTTTGTCTGCGCTCATTGTTTGGTAGAAAAGCAGTGGGATATTGTAAAATAATGGACTTTATGATAATGACTCCTTGGTGCGTTATCCGGTCTGAGGAAGAGAGCTTTCGAGAGCATGTACAACAAAAAATCCTCTTATCTCCTTAGGAAATAGCAGAGCGAAAAGATTCAGTCGACTGTTTTTCTGAAGGACATCTACTACGAGAAGATGATTAGGGCAAAGACGAGCTAATGTCTGTTCTTATTGGGAGGTGTATGTCTGCTACAGTTGACCCTAAAAAGCGTTGGCAGTTGAACTGAGCGAAGTGTTTGTGCAATGACTGTCATTAATGTTAATTTTTATTAGATGCGTGCTAATTTACACGGTTTTATTCCCTAAAACTGCGAAAGGCAAATAAAAACGGATGTGGCGAAGTCTGTGATAATCAACGACCTCTGCATGTTTGAACCTCCGGTTCATAAAACACTCTCAACTTTCTAAAAATGTTGGCGGCGTGGTTTCCGTAATAGACTTAAGCGATGGGGGTAGTGTCCCTGGCACTATGTTTTGTGTTTTCTTTATTATTTCTTCAATCTCACGTCCGCACTAGTACCAGGCGAAAGCGATTTAATATCAGAGTAATACTTCTGATGCCGTATCCGAACCTTACGAAAAGAGGTAGTGTTTTTCATGGAAATAAGAAAGAAAATGATCCAACGCTTCTGAATGGTACGGTTAATTTAATACATGAGATCAGAGTGAAGAGGCAGGAATTACGTGATAAATTATTAACTTAAGAATTTCCTTTCTTTTAGCGGAAGGGGTCCCCTATTGTCTGAAAAAAATACAAATAAACTGTCACCTTGCTGTTTGTCGTATTTCAGGTCATTTGAGACACGAAAGAAGAAAACAGGAAATAATCGCAAGTGTCAGTACAAGGATGACTTCCTGTCTTATCGGCAAATTACATGCACATGTTTCATGGTGCATGTCTTACACCCCACGCACGAGTTGCAATGCAAGGCCTGAAAGATGAAGTTCACCACGGCAATCGCGGCTCTTTAACAAATTATTCTGTCGTCATTCAGGGGAACAGTTTACCACAGTAGGCTAGAAATCCTTAGATATTAACGTTAGAGACAACGCAGATAAAAACGTCCGCCCCAAAAATGTTATCCGACCGAAGGCACTAATCCTCCAGTACAGCCATTGACGAACGTATCGCGTTTCTGATCTAATTTCCGTAATAGCGATAATGAGCGAGAAAACATGACATAATTTGGTTTAAATGCTTGGTCGCCAATATTCTATGTGGGGAGTAACGAGGTCTCAGCAAAAAAGCTACTAAAAATTTGGGCTAATTTTTCAGACGTTAATTAAATGATGAACCTCGCGTCATCAATCTTATTTAGGGGGAAGTGTCTCGCCAAATACCATCGACCAAACAAAATGATTGGTTTAAATTTTCGCAAAAGACATTTCAAAGTTTTGTTCAGTTTTAAAGTATGTTTTTGATGTAGAAGCACTTTCAAATAACTGATATTTTGAGATGGCTTTGGGACAGTTAGGAAAGGTCACTCGCAACAGTGGAAATTGAATAAAAGTTTTAAAATGAGAACAAATTGATAAATTAGCACCATGGGCGTAGTAAGTAATGAACAAACTTGGAATTAGCAACTCTAAACTTGTGAATAAAAAGGTGTCATCGTCCCCATGCTATGTCTAAGTGAGTTTGGACCACAAATATCCCCATCGCAGTCTCGTGAATTGGAACCCGCTGTTTACGATGTAAACACTTCTAACGCTTGTGTTTAATCTTTCATTAACTTAGCAGTAATCCTTGCGATGTCGCTGTCAGCCATTCAGCACAAAATTGTAACCTTTTGCACTTACTTTGAGCTCACAGCTTGGCGACAAGAAACACGTTTTGTTTTCGGAGTATTTCATCGTAGAGACAAAATAGACAGTAATTCACGGAAATTATCTGATTTCGTGTTTGTCCTTTGACTCAGATATAAGAGTAACCTTGGCTGCTTAGAACACCAGTTTAAGATTATGAAGCGTAAACATCCTTCCAAATTTAACTGTCACCAATGTTCGGGGATGTTTTCACAAATTTCACCAGAGTTTTGGAATGAACGCGAACAGGCGTTGAGTCGTGCTGGGAAAATATGGGAAAGTATGCACTTCCCAGCAAAGAATTTGATATTGATTTCTGCCCTGCGGCGTTTTTTCATCCAAAAAGGATAAAAACGGAAGAAAAACATATTTTGACAAGCACTAGAAAAGAAATTTTGAAACATTGTGCATACAGCGAATTTTGCAAATTAATGCTCTTTCATTCACTATATCCTTCCTTTTTAAAATAGTTGTTTTTACTCTTCCTGTCTTAGGCCGAGACGAGGAATCTAAATTCAGCTACCAAGACAACATATTCACACATTCCTTGCCTAGCATGGTGTTGATTGTTGTACGGAGGAAATGCGTCTTCTTCGTAGAGGCAGAATACAGCGACCTGAGTGTTGCCTCGGTTTAGAATACTCGGACAATCCTCATCAAAAATAAGTTTGAAAAATGTTTTGTATGTTTTGACCAATTTTTTTCTGTTTCTCATTGTCACAGGTTGTAATCACTTCCATTCTGGCTGATTGCCTAACTTCCAGAAAAATCTTTATTTCTAGTGTCATTACCATTTTTTTTCCTTTCATTTATTTGTGATTTCTTGAAATTTAACGCTAATTAAGAGAAATCCTCAAATACCAGTTTGCAAGGGTAGAGAAACACTTAAGAGATGAAGATAGACTGAATATTGACATGGATTACAAACGACAAGTTTACAACTTTTTGGCTGAATCTTCGACATACACAAATCATGAATAGCCAAATCCTTTAAGGCCTCTTGTGACCTTCTAAGGTGTTAAGACTTTTCATTAAACCACTCCATCTTTATTTTAGACATGAGTTTATCTTCACTACAAAGAATGTGGATTGTAATTGATGAGCCAGGTAAAGAGGTCATGCCCAGATCTTGCAATTTACAAGTCAGTGAAAGGCAATCTGTGTGTCCATAGATAACCTTGATGATTCAATTCATTTTACCTTTAAAAGGGGAGAACTGTGATATTTTACCGCAAAGCTTACAAAAGACGTTGAGGACAATGAAAAGGCCAGAGTTTCTATTGCGAAATACTAACAGATTGTTTCGATTCGAAGGCAAAACTATCATTTATTAGGAACTAAAAATGAATCATGTGATATGTGGGAAGGGCAGGCGAAATGGAGCGCTCGATGTGCGAGGTACGTGCGTGGCTTTAGAGGCCATCCGATACGTGAGTTCCCCTGATGTGGCGTGGCAAGACATCTTGTTATCTTTGTTAGGAAGAGCGAATGACGAACGACCTCTTCATATTATAAACAATTCCTCAATCCTTACTCTCTCGAAAGAGTTGTTTTAACATTTAAAGGCCTCAGCTGTAAACATCAGGCGATGCTTTTTTATGGGGTAGAAAATAGCATCCCTTCTCCTAATTCAAACAAGACATCACGCCTGTAAGATTTGTGGTACTGATAAAGTAATTCGTAATTCCAAAATGCTCCCACACATGTGGTTTCCATTAAAACGCTAAAATGCTCGTTTTGTTCACCATGTGCTGCAGAAAACTCCCTACCTCGAAATAAAATGTCAGTTTTAGAGCCATCTGCTGTGACGTGGTGAGATCCACACCGAATTGCGACCATTGCTTTAAAAATCTGCTATTAATGTAACTTGGCAATTTGGACACAATGGGAGCATTTTGCCACGACGGATTTCGCAAAGCCTCTTGATAAACATTACCATCGCATTGTTTTCAATTTCCTTATTCTACGTCACACAGTCCACTTTGTTTTAAGTCAAGCACAATCCTGGGCGCACAAATGGCAAGCAGTGATAATCATACAAGCAGATTTAATCTCGTTTCTTCATCTTTTCACACCGTAAAAGGAAAGCCCTTGATCTTTCCTTTAGATTTACAATTTATTCAATCTTCAAAGATCATGGTCATTAGTTTGATTACAGAATACGCCAGAAGTTGATTTCATTTTGCAGATCAAAAAAATCATCCTGCAAGAAAGTTCTCGATGGATCAGCTGCGCAACACACCTCAAGAGCTGATTGAAACATGGTGAGTTTTTGTGCTATTAAGGAAATATGAAACAAAAAATGAGTGTATGACATTTTTCATCGTTTTTGAGAAACTTAAGGTATAAGTAGATTGCCAGATTGCAAAGAAGGCATTCCTTGCACTTGAAGAGCTACAGTCGGTGGAATGTTTCCGTCCTTTAAAGCGGTATAGCCTCTTCATGACACACGTGACGAATAAGAGAGATTCGGCATGATTATCCTTTAAAATACCGAGTAATTCTAGAGTCGTTCCTTTGCAATGGATAAACTGTTTCAATCAAGTTAAAGCCTCTTCAAAGAATTTTTAAATTGGCTGACTTACAAAAGAAATTTTGCTGTCTCTGCCGATCGGTGTTTGCGTGCAGAATTGTCGCACGGTAGTGTGTTCCCACGTTGCGATGGCATCGTTCAACCATTTCGGCGGATTTCCTGAGACTTGTTCGCTTTGGGGCCGTTTCACTGGTAAATTACACCAAATACAGCCTATCTTCATTCCAAAAGAATGTAAAGTACTCACCTTCTGGAGAGTTTTGCCTTCTGCCAATCTTGAGTTTCCTTCGATGTCGAACATCAAGAGAACAACCAACAGGCTCATTTGGAGAAGAATCTGGCCCGCTCTCATGATGTGTCGGAGATATGAACGTATTTCTTAAGCCTATAAATAAATAAATTGTATCGAATTAATGACCGTGACAGCTTCCACTCCTAGAGGCACGCGCTGAAGAATGAAATCGACGCCTATCCTGAAGTACAGCGTTCTGATCTTCCTTAGTTCGATGCCACCTGGTAAATGTGGCCTGCTCGATTGAGATCATGTTTACCTATGCGTGGTGGACCACACAAGATGACAAGCTTTTTAATGACACACCCCTCGGATTAATCAACTTGAAGTGATCGACTGGTAAGACAGAAAACTAAAACGCAATTGAAAAAGACAGCTCGGAGTCCCACTGACGAGACATCTAATATCCTCAACGCTGTCATAAGTCGCTTCTAAATTTGGCTAACAAGATCATTACAATGTACTTTGCAGTTTTTCTGAAGCAAAATCTTGTCTTTCCATGCATGCGGTTTTTCGAACAGATAATGACTATCGTGGTCAAAATTATCATAATTTTGACCATGATCACGGTTTATCATTACTGATGATTTAAGTAACAGAACTCGTGAAATGGTCACTTTGAAAACTGTTAGTTTGTTATTCTGCGACTTGATTTAATCTACCTACCAGAGGACACGTGCTGTTGTTAGTATTGTCTTAGTATGTATAAAACTGTAAGATAACTTCCGACAACTCGGGCCATCTGTTTAAAGAATTATTTCACGTCAGAGGAAGTTTTGAACATAACAAGATTTTTCCGTACTGGCAAAGCCTCAAAGCTGGCAATGAGGCCACGATAGATGACATTTGACCGCACAAGCATCCTCAATAAGAGACATTTACCGTGAGAATATTCTTCGGACATAAGCCGTTGCGGGAACCAGACCCACAATTAACGCCAAACCGACCTTATCTTATCTTTTATCTCATCAATTAGAAATATTCTTAACAAAATTCTAGTGTATACTCTCATTACACTAATTGAGGAATATTGGGAAAGCTGGACAACCGCAACGGAGAAGTTTTGGATTCTAACAGCTCTCTTTAGAAAGGGAACTATTGCGTTCCTGCATAAAGGATTCATGAATATTACAATGACGAATGTGATGTGACAGTTAGGGTCATTGTTTATTGTGGGAACCAAAATTCTTCAGTAATGCAGACAGCAGCGCGTCTTTCATTAGCAGGATATTAGCGAAAATTGTTTTTCTAAAGAAATGAATAGCACTGATACTTATCTCCTGGAGACGCACGGTATGTACGAATCTTAGCAGCTCAAATTAGACACACGAAGGTTGCCAAATTTGTTCTAGTAATGTCCTAAGCTGTCACTCTACGGCATTATTCTCTAGGCGCCTGCGAGGCGACCCGCTTGAGATCCATTTTGGTCTTTAATTGAAATATTATTGCATGCAATTCACTGAGCTGTCGACACTCTTCGGGTTGTTAGAGGACAAAAAGGACAGGCTTTGGTGTAATTCTAGAGTAGAAGTTCACACGCAAGTTCGACTATCGATAAACGCGCGACTTCGACTCAATTGGGATAGCCATCGTGTATTACAGCTGCTTGACTGCGCCTTCCCTTATCATAAAATAGAATTTATGAAGCACTAACGTGTCAGACAAACTCGTCAGGAAATGATTGACAAGTCGTACAAATGCCTTTCAAAATAGTACTTATTTCAAACAAAAATTGACAGTTACGTGGTGAGCAGGAATTTAAAGTTTTAATTGTTTTAACTGAACGAGCGCTAGAAGTTCCCCGTGTCTTGATGAAGATCCTTCTCTTTTTTGACGCGTATTAGATTTTCTTTCTTTCCTGGATGCATTTTTCCAAAACCCCTAATCCTTTAATTTCATTCTGTTACCCAAACGTATCGTTCTCACGTCAATAAATGAAGAGTCATTTCCTTAGTTCACTGACTTTTCAGTCCACCGAGTTAATCATTCCGATGTCTGAGGTATTGCTATATCAGTGATTCATGTTTAATGAACTGGGTGTGCGTTCTCTGACACAAAAATTATGCTTTAAAAACCCTTCGAGCCGTTTTGTTGCAGTAGGATTTTAATTCAAGTCGACAAAGTGCCCGTTTACGTCAAAAGACGGGTTCATGATGACAGGTACGCATGAGCAATGCGTATTAATCCTTCTCTGATTTTCTTGTCCTTGTCAGAGAGAACTTATTTGCACCTGGAGGCAACTAAATGCTATCCAATGTAAAATATGTTCTTGTTATGTAACTTTATATTTTCTTTCTCAACTTTTCTTAAATAAATTTCTAAACAAACACTGGTATTAGCTCTACTTCCATGCAATGTATGAACGCAATGATCCATTGCCGATTACTCTGTTACGTTTATTCCGTTTTTGGGATGGAGTTTCACCCATGTGCGAATGAGTCGAATGCGTGGTTGGCTATAGTCAGCTACGAATATCGTCCCGTTCCACATTCCTCATGGCCCCTTGATGTATTAAACGAGCCTGGTCAATTCATTGCTGAGCCCAATCACTGGGTTGTATTAGAAATTGTCCAACCGATCTGATGGTATATTTGTTCAACTGAACGAGCGAGTCAATCAGCAGTTAAGTTGATCGAAGGACAGCTGATATGACCACATACGATGACTCAACACTAAAGCTAGCTTTTTGAAAGAAGGAACATGGTATATTATAAATGAAAAGAGTCGTATTCTGGTCTAACTGGTTGAAATTATCGCATGGAGCCTTTAGCTCTTTCACTCGAGCATTTATTTTTGAGAGGGAGAATTTTTCTAATCTGTCTAATGTATGCATATACATTAAAATGTATTTCCAAAAACATGTGCTGACTAGATGCAGTCCAAAAAATGATTAGAGACTCTATGGATGGAAACAATGGATCCGAGTACAATCCCAAGTAAATTTGGCTGGCTCGCCCACTCTACAATCTGTCTAAAGCTTCTGAAGCTAAGCACACACCAAATTAGGATTATCCGTGGTGTAGAAAAAAGTGTATTAAATAAACTGCGTTGTTCTCATATATAGCAAACACATTTCTAGAAAGCTTAGAATTGCGATACGAAAATAGACAACCCAGGTGTTCTAAAAGCAAGGGCTGGTGGTGACGAGGCTTCGCAGGCCTTATCCAAATTGCCTCCTTTGTTTGATCCAGATATAAGACGATTTACAGTTTCCTCAGGCACAAATTGTTTTTGTTTTGTTCAGTTTTAAAGTACGGAAATTGTTTTGGGGGAATTCTTGGATTGTGTACTATTTAAAACAGAGAAATCTGGCCAATTCCTTGTTAGTTACTGTCCGGATTCTATCACCGCCGTTTGAACAGTAGGTTCCCCGATCCATCAATGCTATTCGAAGGACATTCTTGTGATGATATAATTTACCATTTAGGTTTAACGAAAAATCAACTCAATCGATCTTGTTTTCGTGCCACAGTTAGGTTTAGGTATCTTTACATGGCATTCCTTTCTGATCACCAAATATTATTTATTTGCTTATAATTTGTAAGTTCATAGCATTTGACCACTAATATTTCCAAAAATGTGTAATCTTCTCCGCGGGTAGTATTGGATTGATTGAGATTTGATAAACACATCTTAAATCTAATTTTCACATCCCAGGCACGTGTGTGTCAACACGAATATTCTTCATCCATTATGCTTAGCTGGACGTTCGTTCGACTGTCAATCAGCTAGCCACGATGAATAGAAAAACTTAACGTGAGGATTGATCTACAAGTTTCATGCGTGCTGGAACGCCCTAAATTGTCGACACTCAATTGAATATTCTTCAAACAATTCAGCTTTTCTGATCAGCATGTGCTTTATCGCCTGTTTAGGTCATTTTGAGGGGAAGGTCAGTTGTGATACGCATGTTCAAGCTATAAGGAACATCATTCGTGATCACTTGCATGGTTTTGCAAACAACCAAAGTTATGAACAGACAACAGAGGGCTTCAGCTTTGCCCTTAAGATTAGTTTGGTGATTAGTCCTGAAATCATGCCTTTTTTTTCTCCCCTTACAACTTCTGTGATAATTTTAAACCTTTAATTTTCTCGTGAACGCTTCACATTGAAAGAAGAGCAAACCTACAGGAATTTTTTACGAATACAAAACATAATTTGAGATGAATAGAAAATTTATGCCAAAGATTCAAGGAAAATTTCAATGGATTTATAGTGGTGATCGTTATTTTCACTTCCAAACGTTCAACTTACTCTTGGCCGGGCCAGAAAGGAGAAATATACTGCTCAAACATTTGTCTCTTGACAGCGCAGGCAAACTTCCAAGACAAGAGGACAAGACATCACCTTTCTTTATCTTGCGTGGACCTTCAAAAACAACATTCTTTAAACGATGACAATATCTTCCGGTTGCCTGCACTTGGATACCCATGTATATGGCAAATTACAAAGATCACGTGAATGCTTTCTCTCGCCAAACTGCGAGTGACAGCTTGCATGTAGCTTGTTGCTCAGAATTCGCTATCCCTCTAACTCTGTTTAAAAAACGATCGCTTCGGCATTATTGGTAGTTTGAGATGGCCTACTTCATTCTAGAGTTCACTATATAGCTCTGGGTCTGAGCACCAGGGCGCGAAGTCCGAATTCGAAGGTATGACGTTCAGTTTCCCGTGAAGAACTCAAATCTTTCTTTGTACAAAACTCTTTCTCATTTGACTTTTGAGCTCAAAAATCGTCATGGTTCTTTTTCCTTTTTAATTTAGCCTTTCTACTCTGAGAGTTTTTTTCGTGTGATATGCCATCTTTGTCTTATTTTAGTCGTCGTTCTTCATAGATGACTGTGTGAACGTTTGGTAAATCTATTGCTTGATAGCAGACAGAGTTTGCATGTCATTCAAAGACAATTTACTATAGAAAGCTTAAGGTAAGTGTGAGATTTACAAATCCTCTGGACAGTTCATGCCCTTTCATTTTCCTTGCACGAGAAATTGAATGCTTTCGCACAGTTTTTATCACGAGTGGTTTCACTGATTTCACTTTCGGACAGACAAAAACAAAGCAAATTGCTCTTAGTTAAAAAAGGAAGGATCAAAGAAAAACTTCACACGAAAGAAAACTCGATACTCTTCTCGGCACGATATATAGTCAATTTCGTTAAGTTCAGGTAATTTGCTGTACACATAACAGTAGCTCTCTGCAGCCTTACTGATAGTAGTATTAAAGCAACGGCAGCCATATTTGACGAGTAATCTGTTCGAAAAAGCCAAGTCTTGGATCCCCGATACAAAAAATAGTCAGTTTAACATCGTAATAAATTAGCTTTAAGCGGTTGCTCATCTACTCCCATACAGCTTGGAGTGTTATTCCCCTGCTAAAATATGAAAGATTTCCGTCCAACTTCATGTTGCAAGAGCATCGTTGTCTGTTCACCCGCATCTTCTGATCCGCGAACTTTCACTGAAATGATTGATCTATATCAATGATCCTCGCTGATCTACATCAAACATCTACTTCCAACATTCCACTTCACCAGTTATGTTAGATCGTATTGCTACCCCATGTTGCGTGCAAGGAACACGATGTTCAGTGATAAAAATACTTTACCACTTATCCCAGGCAGCAGATGTGGTCAGAATGAGAGGAAAACCGCAGGAACGAGAGAGAGTCCCATAGAGCAGAGGGGACAAGAAACAAATTATATTCATTCCACAGGCAATACCTCGCTCGCAAAACTATCGCGAGCCACACTAGTACGGGGTGAGCCCTTTCCGGTGAAACGATTTGTTGGGAAGGAAACCAGTAATATTTGTCTCTTAGAGTAAGGGGGCACGTCAAAATTTCCCTGTAGTTCCAACAGACATCAAACGATATTTGAATGTTTAAAAGATTCGGTGCACAAAATATATGAAAAGAAGGACTTCATACTCATACCTTCCAGTATACGCTATGCTGCCGAAGACGGTGAGTTCTTAGCTAGAAGCTGGAGCTTCTAGCCTCGTGGTAAATCAGTTTGAAGTATTAACAAAAGTGTGTATTCCACAATTTATTACCAAAATGATCACGGACGGAACATAGCTGAAGGGGCGGATTCCACTGGAAGGTTCTCAGCACATCTCTAATAGAATTCCTGGGAAACCTTATCAGTGGAGTCCGGCGAGACACGAGCAATTGATGTAAAAAGTACTTATCATAGAAATTGCCGCCGGGTTTCTTCTGAGGTCACTCAGGTTGCCTCATCGAGCCAGTGATACGATATAAAAAGCGGCGCACTAAAGAGACATCTTGGAGCCATGGATATTATTTTGTCCTTCTGATATCAGGGTCAATAGGAAAATCGAGAGAGTTCAATGTAAACAATAAACGTCTTTTAACTTTTTTTCTTTGTAAAACAAATGGAATACTGGTATTTCCGTCTTCTATTCTAATTTATTTGCTTTTTAATGCTATTACCGTTTGTTAAGGCTTTAAACTTGCCGACGTCACGATAGAGTCGGGCCGGTTTTTTCGCCGACGCTCTAAATCCTTCATTTATTTATTCAGACAGGACCATTTAAGAACACGAAGGAGGCAATTTTAAACTAAGCTATAAGAACAGAGATGGTTAAGTATGGAAAAAAAAATTGAATGGTAAGCCAAATTTCTCATGTCGCTCCCCTGAACTGTGGCCTGTAGCGAAGTCATATTTGATAATTATCCTTCCTGGCGAGGGATGTAATTTCGTGTATTTTTCTTTTAAGCTTTGAACTAGTCAGACTTGGGTGGATTTTTATTGATGTAAACCGTCACTTCACGTCCCTAAATGAAACCTTTGAAAGCGAGAAGCTGCACAAAAGCGTAACCGAATCAGGAGGCAACCGGCGTACTTGTGAAGAAACGTACAAAAACCAGTACGCGTGTCGGACTTCTTTAGGCCTGTATTTGATTCAGTGGTACTTATGATGAAAAGAAACCAAAGTGAAATACCCTAAGTTGAATCTGAGCTTATGAAAAAGTTTTTAAAAATGACTGAAAACATAAGGAAACGTATGGAAGTTTTAAAGTTATCTTTAGACAGCGTGGAGAGTCCGAACGTGATATTTTGAGCGGTAGCAAATTGTATCGTTAATCGCCAAGGCCGGACTTAGAAGCTCTTTAAAAGAAGGCTGAGCCGCGGCAAGTGCCATGTTTATCAGTAAACAAAGCCCCTCAAGTCTCCGACGTAAATCTAACTCCTTAAAAAAGCAGATTAAACTGATGATTACAGCATTTTGATTCAAATGAGTCACCTACCGACATGTTAGAAATCTTCGTGGCGGTCGATATAGCCCTTCGCTCCGACGAAGGGCTAACGCTCGAAACGTCAGCTTTTATAATCGTAACGGTGGCCAATTTACCATTTCAACTTTGTTGATATATTCAAATCATATGGTTGAAACGAGCCTGAATAATTTTCAGCGGTGCCATTGCTCAAAAAACAGAAATTCTTTACTAACCAAATACGTGATGGTTTTAAGAATACCAAAGAAAAAGTATTTAACATGATTGATACCAATGCAGTGAATTTAAAGCAAACTTTGTAGCGGTCGACCTAAAGCAATAATATTGTTTTGCCGTTTCGTAACTTTAAGAAAAGAAGAATCTTGACCTTCCGAACTAAAATAAGTAGAGATTTCAGAACAAGAAAGGCAAAGGCATTGTCTTATTCTGTAGTTTAATCTGATTGTGTACAAAAATACCAAGGATTGTAATTCGAAAAGGGAACTTGTTTCATGACTGATAAATAGAGACCAGATACCTAAGGTCATTCACTTCTCATTATTGTCATTCTCATTGATAATGATTTCAGCAAAGTGCCCACACATAGTTACATCCTGAAAGGTCACACTGTGGGTGGTCAGGGGGAAAAAAGCGTGCACTTTGATGTATGCAATATTTTCGGTGAACTATCTGCAGAGTCTATATTACGCACTAAACGACAATCACCTAGCTCGATAAAGGTCTTCAACATTAAATACTGATTAAAAATAGACCATCAGCTTTCAAGGTAATTGATAAGTGGTGACAGACAATTTGGTTGAAAGTCTTGAAACTAGTGCAAAGGATAATTCATATTGTTAAATGTTAAACATGGATACGAAGCGAAACATAGCACGGGCCGGTAACTTAGCCGGCGAAGTTTGAGTTTTTGTTCAGTAAACGCACGTTTTAAACCAAATAAGATTTTCTTCGAGTCGGTGTACCAGAACGAGGAGATTGCGAACAATGTCAAGAAGGCTTATAATTTATACTGGAATAAACATTTATTTTCTCAACAACCCACTTTTAAAGAAATATCTAGGTCTGCAGATAGGCTAAAGCAACAGCTCGAGAAACAGCTTGGAATTTATAACAGCCCGCAATGTTTGCGTTAAACGTTTCTGAAACGGTGAAGATGAACTAGTGTTTGGAAAGACGCAAAATTTATTTTCCAAGAGAGGTTGCGGTAAAAGACACCCGCTGCAAATTTAAATGTCAGTTTAAACATTTCCTAACAGGACTAAAATTCCAATGAGGCTTGGAGTTCGTGATTAGCGACAATAAAAACAAATTGGGAAAATACATGCGCACGTGAGTCGCCGAAAGTAATTTTGTCATGCCAAGGTTCAAAGGTTATAAGGGGGTAAAATGACTAAATGAGATATTTCAATAAAATACCATCTTGCTTTTCATCATAGCTGATGAACAATGAAGGTAATTTAACTTGATCTAAAAATCCAATATCCTATCACCAAAAGGTTATCGATAGCTTTAAAAAAATGAGAATTAAAAAAATTGACAAAAGTTATAAGACAAGACAAAAAAAGGAAGAAGAAAAGAGACGCAGTTTTCTAACTATCCTTTTCCGGTAACAGCCTACCTTTGCAAAGTGCGCACGCGCAGATACACACTTCAGTGTACAAGCGGTGTTACAAGCCTTGTGCCATTATGATTTTTGAGTACATTTACCAACCCGCTTATTTTTCAGAGAATTTGCACGTCTTCAGAAATAAATACTCAGGACTGCGCCTATTTTACGGCGCGTTCCAGTTAAATACATTTTCATCGAAGTTTTCATACAAAAAGAGGATTTTGATAATCCGATTTCTATTTCCTATAACTGGATAGTTATTTCATCCAAAACCGCTTTTTCTCAGCGATATCATGAACGCTTAGCAACGGCTCAATCAAGAGAATTTTCATCTGATAGAGTGGCAAGCTGAGCGTACAGAATGGACTCTTCTGTAATGTTATATACCCAGAGATACCAGAGCCGTGCAGTCAACGTTAATAACAGACAAAGCCAGATAAAAGCTTTTCATAATTCGTGAGTCTATTAGCCTTAAGCATCTACAAAGCCAATTAATTAAAGTTTTAATTACCCACGGCGTTTCGATTTCCTTGTCTCGAAGGTCTATTTTTCTCCAGATTCGAGGTTGTAGCTTAGTATTGTCTTGATCAATTTGAAATTTCATCAACATGCGTTTAAGATTTTGGATTCGGTTCTTCTCTGATCAGAAGAAAGAATAATTTTACATGGAAGAGACAGGGAAGTGATAAGATATAGAACTCGTTGAAAACAGTTCGTGTGTGCTAATTTCGAAAGAATAACTACATTGCTTTGTTAGAGAACATCATTAATCCGCTTACGGATATCAAAGGAGAACGCTGTTTGAGTGAAACTGGTATTTTTCAACGAAGACAGTTATTATTTTGATGACGGTTGTCGGGAATTAAGAGTACTGCATGCGCAACTAATCGGCGTTCAAGATCCTCTCCAAGAGAACCAAGAGTTATCTCCTCGTGTTACCTGATATACTTTTATACATTCACTTAAAATCAGCTTATTCAAACTTCTAATATCTCCACAAAACATAGTGAAGTTGTCATAGTGGTCGGAAAACAGGCCGTAAAATTTATAAAGTTAACAACAGACACAAATTCCTTTCCTGGTCTTCAGAAGTTTATTATCGGCATTTGCAGTTGAATCTTACAAATGCTCTCCAGCAACCCGAGTCTTGCTTGTTGCTGGAAACTCTAGTGTCTCGGTGAATTTTGGGAACAACAACTAATTTTTGTTCTCCCATGTGAGTTCTAGTTAGCAAAACGCAAACAGGAAGACTACGCGGCGTTGCATCAATCTCAGAGAGATTTAGCGACTTTCATTATGGCGTCTCGTGCCCTTAGAGATCCAAGCAAAATAAAAGATTTATTTTGTTTTTCAAACGTTGTAGGAATGTTTGAATTGTGCCAAGACATCGGATCTTCTTTAGGGGAATGTTTACAACATCAATAAACTAATATACAAGTTTGTCAGGGCCGGCGGAAATTCAAAATGGTTACACTGTTGATATCTAACTGCTGAAGCTCATACTGTTCCTAAACGACGAGATTACTTACCAGCCAAAGGTGGTTGTCAATGTTCTCACCCTGGGATCGATCGACGAAACCAAGCAGATGATTTCAGTCATGCGAAACTTCTCGGCGACCTCTTTCACTAAACAACAGGTTTTAATGAGCAGAATAATAATTGTTCACGTGCATTCTCAATTTTTGCAGATTTCGTTCGGCGTTCCTACCATACTCACCAAAACAAGGTTAGAAATTTTCCGCCTATTTCAGAAGTTATACCTGGACTAAGATGCTAGCATGACAATTTGAAATAATAAACGCCATTCATACCTTTAAATCAGAGATAACTGTCGATGAGCAATCATTGAGGAATGGGGTGACAGCACCTTAACAAAGAGAAGATATCAGCATGCCATATTTGTGAAAAAGTGTTTCCTAGAAAAATTATAGGCCATCAGATTGCTGGCTAAGGTTTTTTCAAATAACATTCAAATCATTCTTAACATGTTACTAAAAAGGCTGGCTTTCTTGACTAAATCATTTCTACTGAGCCAGTTTTTCAAAGGAAGTGAAACTTCTAACGAACACGAAGAAGCACAGTTGTTTATTTGCCAAATTAATCATGATCCAATTAGGTAAAACGGGCAAAATAAACAAAAGAATTGGCAGATACGTGCACATTAAAGATTCAGCTGATGCATGAGTATGTGGCACGAAAATCAGGGTGAGGTA